CCCTCATTTACAGTTTTGACTTTACTACCATTTCATTATATGTATAGATTGAGGTCATGTGCAAGTAATTATTTCGCCGAAATTGTCACATCAGTAGTGTCAAGGAACAAATTGTGGTTTTGTGATAACAATAATTTGGAACAATTCTGTTGTTTTTTTTTTAAAATATAGAAAACCCGTCATAACCACTGATTACGCAACTTGCCTATTTATTTTGATAATATTTTTTACATTCACAACATATAATAGTTAATAATCTAGCTTAACATTGCCAGGAGTTACAGTAAAATTGAAGTTTTTTCATAGCAGGCACATTTTGAAACATTTGATTATCTAAAGAAAAGTTTTACTAGAAAAAAGTCCACGAAATCCAGGCAGCGGACGGGACTCGAACCCGCACCCTTCGCAATCCGGGCGAATACACTGACCAATTATGCTACTCGAAGTCCCGTCTGCGTGGATTTATTTTTCTAATAAAACTTTTAATTAAAAAAAACGACCTCCGCGACCGAGTGGTTTGTACGCCGGGTTTCATGGCTGTCGCCGACTCGAGAGGTCCTGGGTTCGAATCCCGGTGGGGGCAGATGTTTGTGTGATGAATACGAGCATTTGTACTCCAGTCATGGATATTTAATATGTATTTCTATATAAATATACTAATATATGTAAAGTATATGTATTCTATCCGTTACCCTAGTATCCCATAACACAAGCCTTATAGTGCTTACTTTGGGGCTAGGCTAATTGGTGTGAGTGTTGGAAATATTTATTATTATTTATATAAAACTACAATAAAATAGACAGAGTTGGTGATAGTTTCAGTCGAGTATTATTTATTTTATTTTATAGTATGCAATCTACAGTTACTTTGACTTTGAACAAGTTCAAACGTGCAACGACGACATGTTTAAACAACTGTTTTCAAGTCAAACAACAAATGTTACTGCCAATGATATTGAATGTAACAATCGTGAGTCACACAATAATAGTATTAATAAATGGAAAGCCAACAAAAGTCTTATTTCAGCAATGACTAATTATCACATTAACTTTATTTTTATCGAAGGAATTTTTACTTAGAACAGAAAATTTTTACTAGAGTCTGTGCGGAAAGAGATGGAGAGGCGTGGCGATAAACGGAACTAACATTAAGATTTTTATTTGGCAATCAAACCCAGCAATCTGTAAAACGTCAAAGTTTTGTATTGATACGGATTTGTTTGTTGTTGTGATTTCTTGCGGTTTTTTGTATTTAATCATGTCTAAAAGGGGTAAAACCTTAGAAATACGGTAGAAAAGCACTACAGCGCCCTCCAATCTAAATACCATTCTCTTTCTCTTTAACAAAATTTTGCAAAACCTAAAAAAACTTAAAGATGCTTGTTTATTGGGTTTTCACGCACACCACTCTTTAAATAAAACAAGTTTCAACAGCATAGATGATTACTGACTGATTTATTTAAAGAAAGAGAAATGAAATGTAATAGCTAGAAAAAACTTGGCTGGTAATGGTGTCAATTCTGTCATGATTCTCAAAACCTAAAATTTAATTTGACAACAGTGTGTCCTTGTCATTCTCTACACAGAATGAGAAGGAGAGACCGATGTTAAATTTAGTTTTAAGTTTAGAGAATTTTGAATGACAGAATCCACACCATTATTTTCCGGTGATTTCTGATGGATATTACTTTGAATTCAAACCACTTGTTTTTAAAATCCTTTTTCTTTGTTATAATGCCGACTGCAACATAATCGATTTAGAATCTGTACTTTATTACTGTCCTAATGGATTCTAGATGGAATTTCCTACACATACTACAGCAGGTACACTGGCTATAAAAGTGACCAAGAAAACCCGTTAGTTATACGTTTTATGAGGCAGATAATAAATATCGTTCGCGAATATGGGGCTGTACTCTTAAAAATCGACAATCGATGTATTGGTTGTATCGTGTCCCACTCTAGGGCATTACAAATTACGGGTTAGAAAAGGATGCACGATGATTACAACCAGGTTATCGTAAAGTTAACTTTAAGAATAGGTACTAAGCTCGTTTCGAATTTATTGCAAAACGTTTTCCGTTAAACTACACCTAACTACCTAAATTTGACGACCTCCGTGGTCGAGTTGTTTTTTACGCCGGGTTTCATGGTGTCGCCGACTCGAGAGGTCCCGGGTTCGAATCCCAGTGGGTGCAGATGTTTGTGTGATGAATACGTGCATTTGTATTCCAGTCCATTCAGATGGATGTTTAATATGTATTTCTATATAAATATACTTCTTTGTGTACTGTATATGTATTCTATCCGTTACCTTAGTATCCCATAACACAAGCCTTTCAGTGCTTACTTTGGGTCTAGGCTAATTGGTGTGAGTGTTGGAAATATTTATTTATTATTATTATTATAATAATTTAAATTCAAAAATGTAATTGCCTTAGTATTGGACAGATGTAAAACGGAATGGAGTATAAAATGTACTCTACTTATACGCGTTATTACATGCATAAACAATAAATTTATTTTAAGGATTCTCCCCTCAAATTTTGAACTAGTAACAATTAACTATGACAGACACAGAGTTTACCGTTAAACTATGAGTTTACCTGCACAATTTGCTTAAAAGAGTATGGACACTACACCGTATTACTTTAAATTATTCTCAATAAATTAAAACTCTGAGTACTTGTCTACACTTAGGCAGAGCTGCGGGCATAGGCCAGCTGGTTACAGAAGTTTATGCATAATCGTTCAAAGACCTTATGATGAATGATAATTGGTTAATTAGTACAGATAAGATAAATGCTACTTCATATTTAATTCACAAGATAAGTCTTTCTTTTGCAGAATTTTAGATATGAAGAAACTTGTTTAGTTGCATACTTATATTTTACTAGCAGCCCGCCCTCGCTTCGCTTCGGTGTAGAGCTGAAGTATAGACTACAGTTTTTGTTCTCAGGCTTATTATACGCAATGACATTCATCTATGATTCTTCTTATATCTGCATGCAAAGTCTCAGCCCGATCGGTTTAAAATTGACAAAGTTTCATACAACTTTTCATTCCCTATTTTATCCCCTTGGGGGTAGAATTGATCAAAATCCTTTCTTAGCGGATGCCTACGTCATAACATCTACCTGCATGCCAAATTTCAGCCCGATCCGTCCAGTGGTTTGGGCTGTGCGTTGATAGATCACTTATATGCCAGTCAGTCACCTTTGAGTTTTATATATATACTAGCTGACCCCGCGAACTTCGTACCGCCCTAAAAAAATAGGGGTTGTCCAGCGGACAAAATTGTGAATCTAAACCATTCTCAGATCCCCTTGAACACACACAAAAAATTTCATCAAAATCGGTCCAGTCGTTTAAGAGAAGTTCAGTGACATACACACTCACAGAAGAATTATATATATAAAGATATTTTTGTTATTACCTACATACCCACGTAATAATAAAAATGAAATATAACTATGCAACTAAACGAGTTTCTTCGTCGAGAAATCGTTTTCCTCATCCTCTGATTCGATTCTTAAGTTTTTTTTATAGGTGTTGTCTGTATTAACTTCGAGTAGGTAATCTAATGGATCAACAATTATAAACGCCAGATAATTAACATCAATTATCAATTCTAGTTAATCAATTCTAAACAGGTCACCCGGGATCCGACGACAATTCCTTCAGTTTTTTTTTATTGGTTTAGGGAGTTCTAAACGGAACGGAGGGGGGCAATGCAGAGGAAGTTATTAAATGCGCAGCTCATTAATGAAATAATATGAAAAATAAAAAAATGTATGTGTCAGCTCCGACGCACGACTGGAGTTTACATTCTAAAAACGATTGTCTTTGAACAGACACGAAACAAAATCAAGTCCGAAGAAGTCGGTTACAAGTAGAGATACCCCAGGAATCTCCCATGGTTTCGACTATCATAGGTTCCATGTCACACATTTTATCATCTAACATCAGCGATATTCATCATATATTTTATTATGTATTTCTGAAACACACAATTTCAAAAATATCACACACTAGTCTTCATTTTGTAAATATGTATTATAATTCCATCTGTACTGAAAATCACTATTCCAGAGTGCTGGACACTTACCGGCATTTCTCTATGTTCTGTTATTTATTTGTTTTCATTAATTTTGCTCCGATTTTATCTATTTTTAGTTTATTTATTTTATTGACATTTGTGACAACTTAATGTTTTTTATCCGTTGCCATGGCTAAAAGTGAAAGGTGCTCAGATGAGGTTGCGCACAAAAACGTAACGAGGTCATTAATGTGTTCATCGATAGATTTTACTCCTCCCATTTTTCTCATACCGGGCCCCTTATATATGCAAATCGATTCTTAAGGAGTAAACTCCAACAATAGAAACCTACGCTTCGTTTCTGTGTGCTTGCGGGCTAGTTAAAAATAATACAACGGAGGTACGCGGAACCAATTGGAAAAGGATGCAGGATTGCGTTCCGGCGTCAACGATATTACCTATCAGTCGTGTGCAACTATTACGGACAACTGTACCCTTAGCACGAACCAATATCGAATTCGAATAGTTTGCGAGTCCGAAACGACATTGTCAAATTTTGTATGGAAACTTGAAGCGCCACAAAGGACGTAACGAGAACTAAAAATCAGTACAAATTTGACAATGACATTTCGGACTCGCAAACTAAGCGAATTCGATATTGGTTCGTGCTAGGGGTACTGTTCACTCTGACACTTAAGTTATGAGATGAAATGTATGAACCTACTAAGGTTCATACATACATTTCATCTCAAAACTTAAGATTAGAGTGTAAATACTAAATGCCACCCTGAAGAATGAAGTGTAAAAAAGCTTTATACCGTAGAACTGTACTCCATACCCAAATTCTTTGCTCCGATCTGCTGAACAGTTCCGCCGTGACCAGCTCAGCCTCACAACAAACTTAGTTTAAGTCTCTTCTTAATACTTCAGCTTTTGAACAATTATTTTTTTCACATTTCAGGAGTACCACAGCAATGGAGCACGTTCATGAGACTATGCCCATGCACGACCACGGTGGCCACGGCGGCCACGGGGATGACTGCGACAGCCCCTGCGCTGACATGGGCCACAGCCACGCCATGGTGGTAAGTGCTAACCTGTGGCATTTACTCTCTACTGACTACCGCCTACTGTCTAATACGGCGGCCACGGGGATGACTGCGTCAGCCCCTCCGCTGACATGGGCCACAGCCACGCCATGGTGGTAAGTGCTATCCTGTGGCATTTACTCTCTACTGACTACCGCCTACTGTCTAATACGGCGGCCACGGGGATGACTGCGACAGCCTCTGCGCTGACATGGGCCACAGCCACGCCATGGTGGTAAGTGCTAACCTGTGGCATTTACTCTCTATTGACTACCGCCTACTGTCTAATACGGCGGCCACGGCGATGACTGCGACAGCCCCTGCGCTGACATGGGCCACAGCCACGCCATGGTGGTAAGTGCTAACCTGTGGCATTTACTCTCTACTGACTACCGCCTACTGTCTAATACGGCGGCCACGGGGATGACTGCGTCAGCCCCTCCGCTGACATGGGCCACAGCCACGCCATGGTGGTAAGTGCTATCCTGTGGCATTTACTCTCTACTGACTACCGCCTACTGTCTAATACGGCGGCCACGGGGATGACTGCGACAGCCCCTGCGCTGACATGGGCCACAGCCACGCCATGGTGGTAAGTGCTAACCTGTGGCATTTACTCTCTACTGACTACCGCCTACTGTCTAATACGGCGGCCACGGCGATGACTGCGACAGCCTCTGCGCTGACATGGGCCACAGCCACGCCATGGTGGTGAGTGCTCCCCTGTTGAACCTCATTTATTCAGTCTAGGCTGTTACAAGCTCTTGTGAAAGTCAAACGCTACGCTATCAGTTCGTAAATCTACGGCGGGAAATCTTGTACTGAGAACAACCGGCAAGAAACTCAGCAAGGGATATTTACTCTACTGACAACCTACTACTTTTCTAACAGCCATGAATAAGGTAGAGTACTTACCTCAAGGAACGTTTTCAATTTCTTGGTGTGGACCACGATCACGTTTTGCGCTCAAAATACGATAATGTGTTAGAGAGACCTCTCACCCGCTCTGAGTATTATATGGACTCCTTTACGATTAAAGCTGCACAACTCTGGAACAAGCTTCCGCCTGAGATCCGTCACGCTAAATCAATTAACATTTTTAAAAATATACTACATGATTTTCTTTTACTTAAATCCTAGTCTGCTGTATCTATAAAAATATAATACTAGCTGACCCAGCGAACTTCGTACCGCCCTAAAAAAATAGGGGTTGTCCAGCGGACAAAATTGTGAATCTAAACCATTCTCAGATCCCCTTGAACACACACAAAAAATTTCATCAAAATCGGTCCAGTCGTTTAAGAGAAGTTCAGTGACATACACACTCACAGAAGAATTATATATATAAAGATGTATATATTTGTGTAGGTGTATGTTATTTGTTTGTTTATAATCTTTATATGTTTAAGAAAATATGTACATTTCTTCATTTTATCCTGCTGGCATACTGCAACTTCCTCTTCGTTTAGTTATCCTTTACCGCAAAGGTTGTCTGGAAGAGATCGCTTAAAGCGATAAGGCCGCCTTTGCCAACATTATATTATTGTTTTCTTATATTTGTATTCTTTTGTGTGTGTGCAATAAATAATTTATCTATCTATCTAAGGTAGAAAATGCTCGCTCGTCATCATACAAACATTTTCCTCTGTTACCGGCATTTGAACCTACGTCAGTACCCTTAGTACGAGTTTTACAATTACGAAAACTATGATAGTTTTCGTGAGCTCGCAGTAATACTCAGGTTAGTGATTTTTTGTTCTCGTTTCAATATAAATAAACAGTGTTTAAATTATATCATTGAATTATTTGCGTCTTCTTAAATTTTAGGTATATTTGGTTACTTTTCACCATAATGAACATAGAAACAGAATTTACAATTACGAAAATTATGATAGTTTTCGTGAGCTCAAACTCGTACTAAGGGTACTGAAGTAAACGACTTCGAAAATCGGTGCAGGTACACCACAAAAGTCGTTAAACATAATGTTTATCGTAATGTGCAGTCATCATTAATTTATTAGCATTAATTCAAGTGACTGGTGGCATGTTGTGTAAGTATGAGTGTAACGCAACATTGTTGCCCGTTATCAGCCGATAGCGACCGCAAGTTGTGGACGATGCGTTCTCACGGATACCGAGCACACGCCATCGCCAGAAACCACGTGGCCTGACGATACAGAGAATTTATAAATATATAATTTTAAATACATAATTAAGGAAAATATATATAAAATAATATATGTGGAGCTCGATGGCGCAGGTGGTTAGCGCGTTCGGATGCGATCGTTGAAGTTAAGGAACTTTTGCAGTGGTCGGTCATTGGATGGGTGACCAAAAATTTACTATCTCGAGCTCCTCCGTGCTTCGGAAGGCACGTTAAGCCGTTGGTCCCGGTTGCATCTGCAGTCGTTAGCACCCACCAATCCGCACTGGGCCCGCGTGGTGGGTCATGGCCCGATCTCCCTATTCCATCCATAGGGAAGGCCTGTGCCCCAGCAGTGGGGACATTAATAGGCTGATGATGATATATATTTTTTAAGCATGTAACTGCTTGATGTTTTAATCTAAAGAAAATATAACTAGAAAAAAATCCACGCGGACCTGGCATCAGAAGGGACTTGAGCCCGTATCCTTCGCAATCCGGGCGAATGCACTGATCAATTATGCTACCGCGGCCCTGACGGCCCTGTCGAAATTCTTCTAGCCATTCTTAAGCTGCAAGGCAGCGAAATTTCGTCGCATTGTAGGTAACCCACAATGTCAAATGAATACTTTTACAAGTATTAAACATTTGCAAGAAGAAATAGCAATTATAGTTATAATTTTTATTTTTTAAGCAAGTAACTGCTTGATGTTTAAATCTAAAGAAAATATAACTAGAAAAAGGAAAAAAATATGTAAATCGCGCAGAATTAAAATATTGTGTATTTACGAAGCATATTCAGAAGATGAGGCCAGAAAAAGAAACTGGGTAAACCCACTGAATATCGTCTTCGATTAAGTAAATCGTTAACGATCTTGACATACACTGTCGATCCATCGTTTCGATCGGTCTGAAACGACGGATCGTACAGATCAATCGTTCCGTATATGGGCCCCTTAATATAAATGATTACGATGTGTTAGCGATATTTCGGCGCTTACGCACTCTCACCTAAATGTCTGCACGTAACAAGGCAACACGTGACAGACCGCCACCTTCTTCACAGAGCCTGTTATCTGTTATAATATAATCAGCGCCATGTCAATGAATACACTCACACTAAACAAAATTCAATCCTTCGATTATAACAAGTCAAGCCTTCTACATACGTTATTATGCTGCTGCGTTGTAATGCTGAACTTTGACCCTTTTTGGCGCAGGCAGGCACTTTCAAGTTTGCATTATTTACCTCTTTTTTGTTTGTTTTTTGTAATACATTTTATTTTCTTTTGTTACTTATAGATATTCATTTAAATAATTGCATGTAAATTGAAAATGTACCTACCTATTTTAAGCCTACTGTGTCAAATAAAATTATTTTGTTTGTTTGTTTGTTTGTTTATTATTAAAATTAGAACTCCTTTTATTCTCCATATGAACTTTGAAAAAGCTAGATTTTACTTCTCAAGCTAGGCTATTCAATTCCAGAAATCGGAATACAATTAAGACAGGAAAATGTAATGTGCCTTAGGTAGCCTGTAGCTCGTCTCGTCTTCTGGGTAGACCGTCTCTCGTCTACTCTCTCGAAGGGGCGAAGTCCAACTGTGATCCGGCTCGAAGGACAAAATGTTCGATAGCTTAGCGTGTTCTTTAAGTGGATTTCTCAATAAAAATCGGATATTCAGATTTTAGAATATTATTCATAGTAAAATACAGATCTTATTGAAATTATGTGCGTACGTTGTCTTTTTGAATTCGAATTGCAAGAGGGAGAGTGAATCTATATAAATCAAAATGAGTGAAAGTAGTAACGAATGGGTACGAAATGAATGTATGAACGGACGATGATGATGGACCGATTGCAGCTTCTCTCGTCGTAGGATAGATGGTGTTGACACCTTGCATTTCTTTAAATCCGGCCCTGAGTACACCATTAACTTAGTTTCAAAAAGAGTGGCTGTGGATTGTGAGCCGTGCCCTCGTAAAAATGGCCGTAGGCATCATAATATATAGGAAAGTTAAATAAAGCAAGTTTCAACGGATGCACTGATTTTATTTATTTATTGACGTTTCGCATCCTTTTCAGAGTGCGTCGTCTGAATAATGAATTTGAATCTTGCATCTATACCCTTAAAAGTCGTTTTAAGTGTGCGTGAAAACCTTAGAAACAAATATAGGAAAGTTTTCTGGGTGCTTTTTTATCTGCGTATCCATCACGAGACGTGAAATATTCTTCTAGAGGGCACACGTAACAACCGTGAAACAAATGACTTTGCGTCGACACGTTACACTGGCGAACGTTTGTGGACATCAAAACTTTTGTCAGGATGAATATATAATTTATTAAGGGATAGTATAAATAAGTAACATGGCAAATATTAAACTAAAACTATACAATTAATTAACAGAGCTGGCGGCTATTTCGCCCAGCGCATAAGCCTCGCCATTCAGCGGGGAAATGCCGCCAGCGTCCTGGGAACCTTTGCCGACGGGGAAGACCTAGGGCAGCTATTTTTTTAATATTTTTAATATTTGTATAGTTTTAGTATAGTTTTAGTTTAATATTTGCCATGTCACGATTATTTCATAATTTCAAAGTCAATATCGTTTATTCAGTCTAGGCTGTTACATTCACTTGCGAATGTCGAAAAGCTACGCCATCGGTTTGCAAACGATTAAAGTTAAATACTACACTGAACAGGGTCGGATTTAGAGGTTCAGGTCGAGTGTCGCCTACTCGAGAGGTCCCGGGTTCGAATCCCGGTGGGGGCAGATGTTTGTGTGATGAATACGAGCATTTGTACTCGAGTCATGGATGTTTAATATGTATTTCTATATAAATATATTTATACACATATATGTAATTTATATGTATTCTATCCGTTACCCTAGTATCCCATAACCCAAGCCTTACAGTGCTTATGTTTTTATTTATTTTTTTAAGCATTTAACTGCTAGATGTATAAATCTAAAGAAAAGTTTACTAGAAAAAAATCCACGCGGACCCGCACGCAGATTTTTTTTTCTAGTAAACTTTTCTTTAGATTTAAACATCTAGCAGTTAAATGCTTAAAAAAATAAATAAAATCATAACTATAATTGCTATTTCTTCTTTCAAATGTTTAATACTTGAAAAAGTATTCATTTGACATTGTGGGTTACCTACAATGCGAAGAGATGGGGCTGCCTTGCAGCTTAAGGCTAGGAATATTTCTACGCGGCGAATAGGGCCGTGGTAGCATAATGGTAATTCGCCCGGATTGCGAAGGATGCGGGTTCGAGTCCCGTCCGCTGCCTGGTCCGCGTGGTTTTTTTTTCTAGTAAACTTTTCTTTAGACTTAGTGCTTACTTTGTGGCTAAGCTAATGTGAGTGTTGGAAATATTTATACATTTATATATTTCATGTCGCAGTTCCACGCCAACGTGTGCCAGGAGATCCTGTTCAGCGGCTGGCTGACCACCACCGCCCTGCAGCTGTTCGGCTCCTGCGTGGCCATATTCGTCGGAGGAGTTCTATACGAAGCACTGAAGTACTACAGGTGGGTGCAGCCGGGGTATATTTACCCTTAGGCCAAAAGGGGCCATAGCCCAGGTCGGCGACTGAATAACTTGTCCATTAGGTCGGTTCCGTACCCAAATGGTAAAAACATGATCCCGTAACTAAGACTCCACTGTCTGTCTGTCTCCTCGATAACCGTGATAACTAGACAGTCGAAATTTTCACAGATGATGTATTTCTGTTTGTTGATATAACAACAAATGCCAAAGAAAATAAAATAAATATTTCAGGAATCCCATACAACAGACGTAATTTTTGGCTATTAGTTGTGCCGATATTGTCTAATGAATCTATACAGATAGATAATGGTACGAAAACCTCCGTCCGACTAGCACTTGGCCGACTTTTAAATTGATTCTGTCTCCAAAATATAATTCGAAAGCTTTAATTTTTTCTATTTTAATAAGTACTGCATATAATTCTGTACGACGAGTCCGACTCACACTTGTCTGGTTGTATCTTAAGTTGTCTTATGTGATAATATGTCACTAGCATTTTTTTTTTTCTTTCTGTGGCGTTCTGTCACTAGCATTATTCACTATCCATTTACAGTTGGGTATATTGTTATTTTTTATGACATGACTTACACTGTTCGCACAGGACACGACATAATTTAAATACTGATTTACTCTGATAGCCACAAAGAAATTTATTTGTATGCTTTCAGCAATGTCACCTTAACCTCATTTGTCGGACCTATCTAAAAAAAAACATTAAATAAAATCAGTCATAAATGTCATCCCTGTAGTACGCCATATTGAGTATAAGACACAATATTTGATTGAATACCGGTGATTGTATGACGGCGACATTAATCTAGTACTCATTAAAGACAATTTATTATCACTATTGCTCAATATTTTGTTGTACCAAAAGAGGATTAACTGCATTTAAACTAGATTAAATATTGTCTTTAAACAATGCAGAGCATAATAACATGTCATTAAGATAGGTGCCTCTATTTAGAGTACTAATGATTTTTTATGGTTTCTGAATGTCATTGTCTTATTTCTTTATAAATTACTAGTGGCCCGCCCTCGCTTCGCTTCGGTGTAAAGCTGTAGTGTAGACTATAGTTTTTCTTCTCAGGCTTGTATTATACACAATGACATTCTTCTAATACCCAATTACAATAGGCACGCGCCGCCAAGCCCGGTAGCGTCGGAACCGCTATGTCCCTGAATTTTAAATTTGTAATATCTTCGAAAATATTCATTTAAATTATATGCGTTAAAGGGCCAAATTGTTCTATATTAAATGCACAATGTATTTAAGGTACTTAATTGGATAAGGATGAATGTTATATTGCTTAAAATCGCTTCGTAAATAATCTATTATTTCTCGTAAAAAGTATAGGATAAAAATTGTTATTGTGGGTTATCCTTAAGAGATAGACATGTACCATCGCGGACTTTTTTGTAGGCCTTTTTAAGGTGTACAATACTGTAGTACATTATTTTGATCTATCTCGTGGGGTTCAGCCAACGTTTGCAATGTAAGCGCAAAAATATGTTTATTTACGACCTTACATTAAAACCTCTAAAATTATCAGTGTTTCTCTACTATATTATGCATGTATTATACATATAAACCTTCCTCTTGAATCACTCTATCTATTAAAAAAAACCGCATCAAAATTCGTTGCGTAGTTTCAAAGATTTAAGCATACAAAGGCACATAGGGACAGAGAAAGCGACTTTGTTTTATACTATGTAGTGAAGCCAGTTTTTAAAAATTCATTTGATTAAAGTTGGAACGAAAACACGAACAAATTATTAATCATCTATCGATCATCATTAAGGGCTCTAAACTAACTAGTGTACTAGTAGGTACCGAGGCATCGAACGTCATCTTGGGAAATCCATTAAGCAAAACAGGATACAAAATATTTAGGTGTCTGCAAAAGCAGGCACTATCAGCCGCTATCGCTTCGTATGTGTTTTAGTAAAACCGTTAAAACACATACGAAGCGATAGCGGCGATAATGTCAACAACGTGTAACGGTGCAGCGATTCGGTATGCTATGGGAAATGCTGTGCGATACAACAGAACCCCTAGCACGAACCAATATAGAATTCGTATCGTTCGCGAGTCCGAAATGTGATTGTCAAATGTGTACTGATTTTGACGTGACAACGTCTTAAATTAGGTTGCGGCTGGGAGTCACTTATGAAAAAGTGTAACGCTCGGTAACGTTACGATGAGTTTAAGTTTACATGTACAATGTTTTAGTAAACAAAATATATTTCTATAGTTAAAATTTGTGCAATTCTTATTTTCATTCAATTCCTTGTTCCTATTGTGCAATTTAATTATATTCATATCAATAAATATTCTACCGAGAAAAAGACGTTGTCACGTAAAATCTTCGCCCGTAAAACCGACTTTACAGGCAACCATTTTTTTTAGTTCTCGTTACGTACTTTGTTCAAGTTTCCATACGAAAGACATTGACATTTCGGTTTGCAAACTATTCGAATTTGATAATAGTTCGTGCTAGGGGTACAGCACGCGTTACGCTTTGCTGATTCTTTAGTGTTGTGTTCCTATAGTGATAGGGCACGTCACTGATGTAAACGTCGTATTATCCTGAGGGCAAAACCAAGCACGACTTGAACAGATCCGTACCCTTCCTTAGCACGGACCAATATCGAATTCGTAATGTTTGCGAGTCCGAAATGTCATCGTCAAATGTGTACAGTACCCCTAGCACGAACCAATATCGAATTCGTATCGTTTGCGAGTCCGAAATGTCATCGTCAAATGTGTACAATACCCCTAGCACGAACCAATATCGAATTCGTATCGTTTGAGAGTACGAAGTGTCATTGTCAAATATGTACTGATTTTTAGTTCTCGTTACGTACTTTGTGCCGCTGCTGTTCAAGTTTCCATACAGAATTTGACATTGACATTTCGCACTAGCAAACTATTCGAATCCGATAATGGTTCTTATTAGGGGTACAGTAATCGTATTGTCATCCACAACTTATTATTGTATATGGAAGGACTATATGACTTCCTGGGAAGAGCCAGTTTGTTCTTACGTCCGGTAGGGGGCGCTGCTTAGTGTTCATGGAAACTTTAACGATGCGAAACGATTACGGAGCTGTCAAAGTCTGTGCTTGGGACATCTACTTCTGACGGACGGTCTGAACCTACTATTGCTTATTGTGCACTATCATCACACATGAATTAAGCATTTTCTACTCAAAGTCAAATTTTATTATCATCATCATCATCAGCCTATTAATGTCCCCACTGCTGGGGTACAGGCCTTCCCTATGGATGGAATAAGGAGATTGGGCTATGACCCACCACGCGGGCCCAGTGCGGATTGGTGGGTGCTAACGACTGCAGATGCAACCGGGACCAACGGCTTAACGTGCCTTCCGAAGCACGGAGGAGCTCGAGATAGTAAATTTTTGGTCACCCATCCAATGACCGACCACTGCGAAAGTTGCTTAACTTCAACGATCGCAACCGAACGCGCTAACCACCTGCACCATCGAGCTCCCCTTATCGAGAAATTTTATTAATTCAAGTTGAATCATTATATGTTTCGAATCGTCCAATTTATTTTCCCTACCATCTGTTATGGTCATTTTTATGTTTAGAGATAAACAGGCATCAGTCATAAGTTACATTATGATTTGTTTGATTCCAGAGAGGTTCTGCACATAAGAGCCACCACTGTAACGGCTGACTCCAGGGTCAACATCGCCAAGAACGAGTGCGGCTCCACCGGAAACTGCAATGGACCAACCGTTGTCAAGTAATTACCACGACTTTCAGCTGTTTCTTACTCAATGTCCCATTACTGGAGTACATTCTTTACTTTTTTCTGTTAAAACGTGGGCAAAGAAGCGTATGGCCCGCCTGATGGTAACCGGCCACCATATTTATTTTATTTTATTTATTTATTTGTGTTCAGGCATCGTAGGCCCATAGAAATATATACAAATTCTAAATAACACGTTTAGTCGGCGACGTGTTGCGCGGAGTGGTGTCAGGTAGCCTGCCTTTGAAACGCCGGAACACCACACCTTTCAGCCAAAGCTCCTCTTTCAAAAAGGTCGCCAGATGTTCAGACGGCACTCTCACCACAAATGAATTAAAATCCACGTCGTGGCGAGACTCCATACGCGTGACCCTCAGGGAGAAATTGGTCTTCGTACGCAAATATTCTGCGATCCCCTCCGCCTTCGTGGTGTAATGCAAGCGGGACACATATAGGAGCGTCACAGGTATCGCTGGACGCAGCAAGACCGCACAAATTGCGACGAGTGGGCTTCCTCTTCTTCCTCTCCACCGATAGCTTATAGACGCTTGAGATACTAAAACTATCACTCGCACCGTTGCCTACCCTGACCCAATCCCCCACCCGGACCCAATCCCCTACCCTGACCCAATCCTCTACCCCTGACCCAATCCCCTACCCTGACCCAATCCCCTACCCTGACCCAATCCTCTACCCCTGACCCAATCCCCGCCCTGACCCAATCCTCTACCCCTGACCCAATCCCCTACCCTGACCCAATCCCCTACCCTGACCCAATCCCCTACCCTGACCCAATCCCCTACCCTGACCCAATCCCCTACCCTGACTCAATACCCTACCTCGTGGAGCTCTGGAACCGTACTCACCGACAGAAACAAAAAAACACCAAAAGGTAATGTTATTTTGCTGTGGTGTTCTGTAAGGAGAAGGTCCCCAGACGGCGCTCCAATTCGAGATAGCAAATCATGCTATGCTTTACCTCTCTTGAACCTCGAGCCTCTTCAATTATGCCGTGACCTGGCGTCACTATCGTCTGTACCACGGCGAGTGTTCTGAGGAGTTATTCTCTCTTATTCCACCTTCCCCTTTCCTTCAGAGGACCACGCGCGCTGGCCTACGTTCTCACCGTCTAACTGTGACAATGTAGCCAGCGCCACAATTTCAACGCGTATAAAGAAATTTGGTGACTCATTTCTTTGTCGCATTATCCGTAAATGGATTGCTCTGCCCGCTTACGTGTTCCCTCCTCCTTACAACCTGGGATCCTTTAAAAGAGGCGTGAAGAAGCAACATGCAGGCCGGCAAGGTGAGGATGGCTGGTGTGGCAGATAGAACTGCTGTACCAGCTATCTTCACGTCTGGACTTCACCGTCAATTAACATTAGGTGGAGTGGAGTCATACGTCGGACCTATATATAAGAAAAAAACCTCCTTACTTAAGGATGAACTCACAAAGAGAGCGTGCCACTCCAGCTGTCCTCGCCCTGTTAGCTTGAACCTTAAAGGGGTTTTAGAATCTTACTTAAAGAAAACGCAACATCACCATTTATGTAAGCTAGTGTTATTTCAATGAGGTCTTATCCTATCCACCTCGCTTAAACCCTTTTTAATTTGCTCTCAGTGATTTCCAGTAACCACAAGGTTATGCTTCATGAATTGAGATTAATTTAAATGTCATTTTAACCAATAATTTGCTCTTTAGGGGCGGCTAAATAGGGATGATAAACTTTATTTTCTTCATCTATCAGGCAGAATGTCAGAAAGTGCCTATTGGGCGATTATTTTTTATTTTTTCACATGAGATATGTATTGATTTGAAACGTCGCATGACGTCACGTTTTGGTTCAATTTTGTCCACTCCTAATATTTTATGCGCTTTATCTTTGTAATTTTTTGGTTCATTGACCAAAGACAAAATAAGTGTCCCTTCTTTTTTGATAATCCAACTGGCGGACTAAATAGAATTTCGTTTACTCTACCCTGAATTGAATTTAAAATTTAATCGAATCGGTTCCGGCTGCGTCTGCAGTCGTTAGCACCCACCGATCGACATTGGACCCGCGTGGTGGGCGACGACCTAATCTCCCTATTCCATCCACAGGAAAGGCCTGTACCTCCGCAGGGAGGACAATAAGCAGATGATGATAATGATAATGATAATTGACGACCTCCGTGGTCAAGTGGTTTGTACGCCGGGTTTCATGGTGTCGCCGACTCGAGAGGTCCCGGGTCGGATCCCGGTGGGGGCAGATGTTTGTGTGATGAATACGAGCATTTGTACTCCAGTCATGGATGTTTAATATGTATTTCTATATAAATACACTTATATATGTACAGGAGCTCGATGGCGCAAGTGTTTAGCGCGTTCGGCTGCGATTGTTGGATGGGTGACCAAAAATTACTATCTCGAGCTCCTCCGTGCTTCGGAAGGCACGTTAAGCCGTTGGTCCCGGCTGCATCTGCAGTAGTTAGCACCCACCAATCCGCACTGGGCCCGCGTGGTGGGTCTTGGCCCAATCTCCCTATTCCATCCTAGGGAAGGCCTATGCCCCAGCAGTGGGGACATTAATAGGCTAATGATGATACATGTATAGTATATGTATTCTATCCGTTACCCTAGTACCTATTCAATAATACAAGCCTTACAGTGCCTACTTTGGGGCTAGGCTAATTGGTGTGTTTTTATTAAAAAGAAAAGCTATGTATTTGAGTGTATTTTGAGTACCTACTATGTGTATGAGTGTTGGAAATATCACACATTTAGAATTGAAGTGACTTAAATGAAAAAATAGCAATTTAACTTTTAAAAGTGAAACTACATAAAAACATGTATTCTATCAGTTTATTAATAATAAACAGGCTCTTTTAGGCCAGAAGAAAAGAAACGTACTATTTTCGTCTCTTTTAAATGACACGCACAACGCGCCACCCTCAGTATTGAAGTACCCCATTCAGTGTTGCGTGGACATTTATTTCATTTTCCTTTAATTTAGATAATCATTAATTATTAAACTAGCATATTACAAAATTGGTCACCTATCAAATATATAACGTCAGAAATGTATCGCCTCTATATTAAATAGTTACGTTTTTGTTTTACGTTGTTTAGTAAAAAATGGGCACAAAGTGAAATAAGCCAATTATAATAAACTGTTTTTGGAAAATAAGTGACATGTATTTTTTGATGATTAATTAACAAAGGTTCTAATTAGTTATACAGAACGGTATATAGACTATTCTACCATTCACAATGAAAAATATGATAATAAACGTATAACTTATAGCATTATAATAGAAAAACAAAAAAATGGCCAACTTGTCAATCACATTTTTAGCGTTTACCAAAAAACAAGAATTTTGGTTTAGGTCACTTCAATTCTAAAGGTGCGATATTTATTATTTAGTTATTATTAATGATGATGACCTTGTTCGTTCCCCTCAGATACAGCATATGGTCGTGCGGGCATGCGGTGCAGACGGCGCTGCACGTGGTGCAGGCGACGGCGTCGTACGTGCTCATGTTGGTGTTCATGACCTACAACGTGTACCTGTGCCTGGCGCTGGTGGCGGGGCTCGGCCTCGGGTACTTCATCTTCGGGTGGCGCAAGACCTCCCTCAACGACGCCAATGAACATTGCCAGTGACCGCCTGCCTGAAACTCTGATAACACACCTGCTACAAAATGTTGACTCAACTTCATCTGACAGACTCGTGCCGCAATTACATATAAAATGAAATGAAATAAAAATGAAATGAAAAATCTTTACTGGCCATCTTGTATATAAGAAACAAAGAAAAGAAAAAGAAAATTAACCACTAGATTTAAGACGGCCAATCAGGACCCTGCCTCAACTTATGCTGATACAATGAGAAAATATTCTCTCACTGTATCAGCGCTGGTATTCTGGCAGGGTCTATGCGAGGACGTGTTAGGCGCTATAAAGGAAACAAAATAACTGTGGGCCAATCGCCTAAACAGATTGCTTTGGAAAACGCTATCGCTTACGATTTCATTTTGTTATTTCTAACCGCCGAAATACCTCACGCTCATTTTCTTTAACATTGTTATTACCAATGCAAAAGAAAAAAAAAGAGCGCGAGGCATTTGAAAACCTCAGGGGGCTAGAAATAACAAAATGAAATCGTAAGCGATAGCGTTTTCCAAAGCAATCCAGTTAGGCGATTGGCCCCCTGGTCTACTTGGTGTCGATTCTGGCCATATACATATCTCTAGCCCTTGGGGCACCCGAAGCAATATTTAATCTGGAATATGAGTGCAACAAATTGAAATTGAAAACTTCGCCAAATCACAACTTTCACTTGCTGATATGGTTTAGAACGATAAAGAAGATGTGTGTGGTGTTGTTAACTTTTAAAATATTTGTTTGGCATTTTCTGTGTCTATTTTCGGCAAGCGATCTTGTAGCAACCGTTTGCAAATAGGCCTGCCAGTCCAAAATGCTCATGTCACTTTTGTTAGTTATAGGCCCGTATTACAGAAAGATTCTCAATAATTAATCTAGTCTTGAGCATAGTTAGAAAGGGATGTCGCTATATATAGCACATAGCGACATCCCTTTCTAACTGTACTCAAGTAAAGATCAATATTTAGTTGTCATTCTGTAATACGGGCCATAGAGAAGGCATGCGGTTTGAACCAAGATTAACTCGAGTCTACGTTTTGTGTTGTGGTAATAAGTGATCACTAATAAAGTTCATAACTATAAAAGCCGTAAATAGGTAGTACGATTTTTTTAAAGGAAATAGGCAGTTATTTATCTGTTATAAATACTGAACTGTGTAATGATACTTTTATTTATTCGATAAGGCTACGGTCTTCTAAAGCTTGTTTTGAAAAGGAAATGTATTCATTTTATATAAAAAAAGGTATTTATATATTTTAAACATGAAAGCAAATCAGCAAGTAAATTTAAGATTATTTTATTTCTTATTTTTCGTTTCTATCGTTTGCGTCGCGCAGCTTGCGTGGTGCATTCCGACTCCGGTAAAAAGGGGTATTTTATATAAATTAGTTTAATTAATCAGTTTCTATTCATTAATCAAAATAGCTATGCGACCCCGTTACACTGTAACTCTTTGTCATAATCATAATTTCTTATTGTTCAAACCCAATCACATCTTAAATAATCTTTTTTTTTGCATTTCATACCAAATTTTCCAGGTTTCATGACATGACAATTATAATTTTGTTCTAATAAAATAAAAAATCTCATAAAATCTTCATTCATAGCCAGGCCAAAAGAAAATTATTTAGGATAATTAAGTGCATCTTGCCATTGCATGAAAAATATGTTAATTTCATTTTTCATTTTCAAGTAAAATGATTGTTTTATATCACATTTTGTAAGCGCATCATAAATTCAAATGACTAATTTCTAAAATGACATTCTATACTCATGTGAATGGCTATGTATATTGGAAAAATATGTATTAAGTATATAGTTTGTAGTATTGTTATTCTCTCATTTATTTCATTTATTTATTGTTATTATTATTATGCATAACAGTAATTATAAATAGTATAATATTTTATACTTTTTATAATTAGTTTTCAACTCGCCTGTTTTTTAAATCAATAAAGATATTCAGCATTTAAAAAATATTATATATTTTTCTTTTCTTAAATGTACATTTTCCTATGACAGAAATGTTATCCTACTTAGAACATAAAAAAACATTTAGGTTATAAAAATTTTTCTTAGATACTTTTTTCATGTGATACAAAATTTGTACTTTTTATATGCTATTTAGATTTAAGTAAAAGAATGTAAATAGGCTGGACATTGTGATATTATTGTGAAAGATACATTCCCCTTTGTTATGAGAATAAATTATACATAAAACGAAATATTTTGTTTTTGTTCTTAAGTTACCCAATATCCAGGTACGGGCCTATCCTAAGGGCAATGGACCTATCGCCCGGGACAACAAGCTGCGAGGTGCGGCAGAAGCCATTTAAGGCCGCTTTTATAAAGGCATTCATTACTGACTTAAATTTTTATTTGGGGATAATTAGTTAGACCGGAGGTGTAAATTTTGAGTTTTTGAATACGCCATCTGCCATTTAGGTTTCCTATTCTAAAACTATCTCTTATCTATTAGACAAGTTCGTCCGTCCGTCTGTCTGTGGTGCTGTTTCAGCGGCCAAACCGTAAGAGATAGATAAAGAGAATGTTTAAGTTATAAGTTAAGAATAGTTTGATAAGACTACAAACCAAACATTTGAGTAACGTAGCACTTCCGGTTTTCGAGAAATCAGGTTTTGGTGAACATTTGGTTCACTGGTTTGCTAGTTTTAACTAATAGTAATAGCGTTAGAGTAAAAAAACTTTAATTTCAGTAAAAAGTCGCTTTACAGTAAAACTACTCTTGACTTATATTGTAAAATAATTCATACATATAAACTAAATTAAAATTGTACGCTCCTACCTAGGGTAGGTATTTCAATTGGGATTAGTCTTTAATTAGAATAGAAGTAATATTATTTTAAACAAGTGCACTTTAATCAATAGACGCTACTGACATCTATGGTCTAATAGAAATATTATTTTTGAACGCCATCTATGATGTAGTAGAAGAACTAATTACATAAGAAGATAATTTTGTGAAATTTCTGCTTGATTTCTGATATTATACAGGTAAGTAAATAAGTAATTCAGTTTTGCAGTCACGTTGAAGCATATTTACTGCAATATCATTTTAAGTAAAAACATGTTTTATTTTTCATGGAACAAAACGTGACTCTCTAAGTCTGTGATCGTAGATGTTCATCTTGCTCTTTCACGCTTGAATATCTCTCTTTCTCTCTTCAAATTATCAATAAAAAAAATCAAACCAAGCAAAGTGTTGAGATCTGTGATTATTGGATATTTATTGAGTTCCTGATCATGGGGACAGAAGTGGCTATATCATTTAGTGCTTTACGTGCTCAGTTAGAAAATGAAAAATCTACTTTGTTTAAAATAGATGAAAATATTAAGAAAATTCAAGTAACGGGACGATTCCCCAATGATAGGTAGTTAACTTGTAGAATGTTTGCAGCGGTCCTGTTTTAATAAATCTTAACCGGTGTGCCTTTTGTTATCAGATTTAATAACTCTTCTGGAGATTATGCAAGGGGTGGAGCTCGGATAGGCGGCCGAAATGCTTACCAAGATACCGGCAATAACTACAAAAATGAAGATCAATTTGGCAAAAGAAAACACGAGACAAAAACTGTGTTTAGCAGGTGTTTTTCATTATTACTAGTTCTGGTAAAATTTTACTTCCTGGGCCAAAGAGGTGATACTCCAACTTTTTGTAGAAAAGGTCTCTTTTAAAACAATGTTTTTTTCTGGCGCTTCGCTGCCGCGCCACGCTCGCTTCGCTCGCTCAGCTCGCGCGTTATGGTCACAACACTAACCTGACCTAGTGTAAAGTATCACCACTTGGGCCCTGGAAGTACAGTTTAGCCCTAGTTCTAATTACTATTCTATATACTTATACCCGTAGTCAAGAGTATTTTTATTATGAAAAATTTGTGTCAACAGATTATCTGCACGGACGCAAGATAGTGATGGAGAAGAGGATGGACCTGGCACCAAGAGAGTTAGAATGCCATCAGCAGTATCCAGGGAGTTGCCAACAAGAGCTGCAGTGCTCAGAGCCCAGGGGGATGACGAACAATCCAGGACCAGGAACCGTCGCATATTCGGTTCACTTTTAGGAACACTACAGAAGTTTAAACAAGAAGAAATTGTACTTCAAACTCAGGTACATATAGCAAATTCAATAAATAAAGAATTAATCAATAACGGCACCAAAATATTACCAATCTTTCATGTAACAAGCATTTCAAATTAGACTGACAAAAAAAATTATACTTTTAAATCTAAAGAAAATATAACTAGAAAAAATTCCACGCGGACCAGGCAGCAGACAGGACTCGAACCCGCACCCTTCGCAATCCGGGCGAATGCACTGACCAAATGTTTAATACTTGTAAAAGTATTCATTTGACATTGTGGGTTTACCTATAATGCGAAGAGATGGCGCTGCCTTGCAGCTTAAGAATAGCTAGAAAGAATTTCGACGCGGTCCGTGAGGGCCGCGGTAGCATAATTGGTCAGTGCATTCGCCCGGATTGCGAAGGGTGCGGGTTCGAGTCCCGTCTGCTGCCTGGTCCGCGTGGAATTTTTTCTAGTTATATTTTCTTTAGATTTAAACATCAAGCAGTTACATGCTTTAAAAATAATAAAAATTATAATTATACTTTTAATTCGAAATTTCAGGAAGATAAGAAAGCTCAAGTTGAACGCAAGATTGAAGAGCAAGCAAGATTAGAAAAGGAAAGAGAACAAAAAGAGAGAAAAAGTTTGTTTTTGGAAAGGGAACACAAGAAAGCAACAATCAAGGCCTTAGAGGCGAAAATGGGTCGTGTTCAAGAGTTTGAGAAGTGGGAAGCTTCACAGAAAAGTCTCAGCAATTTTATCCTGACCAAATCAAAACCACATATATACTGGATTCCAAAGAAAATGACAGACAAAGCCACTGAAAAACTGAACTCCAGTAGAAAGTTCCATGAAAGTAAGTATGTTTTTACCAAGTACATTCTTTTTATGTAATTCAAATCTTCACTGATGTAGGACTATTAAATTAATATGAATGCTATTGGAATTTTCCATCTAAGGTCATTGTATTATAGTACAGCTTTGAAGGTGTACTAGTAAGGTATAAAACTGCTATTTCATGATTTTTGTATGTAAAAATTACTTTTTTAATCATTTCTTTAGATAATTATTTCCTCACTAAAGTGGTTAAATTAATTTACAGCAAAATATGGGTATTTATTCCGCAGTAAGTAACATAACATGTGTTCTTGATACAAAATAAAATAACAACTTGATACCAATTCCCAGGTGCTGAATTGATATTTTTTTGAAAATTTGGCCACATTTTAAACCATAATTTTTATAAAGTAGCTTGTAAACTTATAATAATGTGCTTAGGGATATGCTTAAGGACTCGCAGTTGTATATTTTTCTAATAATTATTTTGCCTTAGTTATTTTTCAGTACTGGTATAGTATATTTGTAATAGAACATCTATGTACCTCATTTATGTCGATAAATAGCTAGGTTTTCTAAACTTTAAATTGCATTTGACAACAGTCTTTCCTTTTCCTTCTTATTAGAGCATGACAAGGATACACAGTTAAATTTTAGGATAAAAGAATCATTTCTCGATAATCCTACTGGGTTCCAACCACCTTTATAAATGTGTATTTTCATTACAGAATGCATGGCTAAGAAACGTATAGAACTACAAGAAGAATTGCAGCGGATAGAACAGCGATGTCTGCGGCAGAGAGGTCCCGGCGCCAAGGAAAATGATCCAGAACTTCAGAATGACAAAGGAGAGGAGCCCAAACATAATGATTCTATCTCTGAGCATGATCAGGAGGTTAAGATTGAAGACAGCGACGATAAAACGAGAAAGAGGAACAAGTTCGCCACGGATGCAGACGAAAAGGAAGAGAGTGACGCTGATGACAGGCACGATGAGGCTCCACCAGCAGACATTATACCCAAAGAGGAAAAAGGTAAGTTATCAATCATAAGGCTAATGAGACCAAAGTAAGATAAGAGCTCAATGGCGCAAGTATTTAGCGCTTTCTGTCTGCGATCGTGAAAGTTAGGCAACTTTCGCAATTGTTAGTCATAGAATGGGTGGCTAAAAATTTACTATCTTGAGCTCCTCCATATTTCTAAGGGCACGTCTGCAGTCATAAGCACCTGTCAATATACACTGCGCAAACTGTTCTATTCATAGAGAAGGCTTGTGCCCCAGCAGCAGATACCCTAGGGACATTAATTAATAACTGACAATGATAAGTACTCATTCCTTCATTAACTCTTAAGATTCACTGTAGACTAGTCGAAATGTCACTTACTAAACATTTCCTTAAATTTGCAAATTCATAAGCACTTGTTTGCTTCAACCACAAAAAATACTTTATACATTTTTATTATTTTTAGAATCTGATGAAAGCAAAATGGATACAAGTTCAGAGCAGATTTCACAGGCGGACCTGACAACTGGGATCGACACAACTAATGAGAATATGGACTCAACTATGGAAACAAGTGCAGTCAATGATACTCAAACAGATGCCGATGAGACCGCAGACGATAATGATAAACTAGATGCTAACTCTCCTGAACATTCCTAACAACTACTTTTCCACCCAATTAATGGGATTTCAATCACATTTGCAATACCATGTAAAATAACAATGTAATTATAAAAGCAAAGTGAGTTAAAATTTGCATCTGAATAAAATTAAACAATGTTGTTACAAAATTTCTATATTTATAAGTTCAATTTAGTATACATCAGTTTTTAGTTTGCAACACAAGCTATAAAGCAATCAAGCGATGGAATTAAGTGATAAATTTATTTTTAAGATGTACTGAACACCAAATTGGCAAGATGCAAGAAAATATTAAATCATTAAACAATAGGTAAAGGAAATATTTCTTTTCATTGCTAGAGAGCTAAATCGAATTGATAAATACCAAATTATTATACTTAGTAATAAGTTTTAATACTTTCAGTACAACATCAGAGTTTAAAATTTATATTATATAATACTAACTCTATCAAGCATCTTCTGGAATGAAGGGAATAAATTAATAATGTCTACACTTCAGCCCCCCTAGCATGGCCTCATGAAAATGTTATGATAAAGCAATTTATTGACATTGGTTATCAAACTACAATGTAACTAGATAGATGAGTGTTTACAAAAAACTTTAAGATATTTATATTTCTCATGCTATGGGAGCTCAAAGTGGAGTTCTCAAAATGCTTGAATTGTAACTAACATTAAGCATTTTTTCCAACTATCACAACTATTTATAACATTTTGACAAAAAGGAGACTCGCTCAAACTCATAATATTTATACTTTATTTTTTTAATAAAAGGGATCTAATGCCTTTTTTGAAGTGGACTGTCATAAGTTAACTGTACATCCCAGGTTTAATGAGTATGTATAGACTAGAGATGCCAACAACAAGCTTATTCAGAAATGTTACATTTCTATGTGAAATAGCTTTATAAGTGCTGTCTTTTCACATCTTTAGAATAAAAATTTGAGAATAAGTGACAAAGGACAATTAGTTCATTTCTAAAAATAAAATTTGATAGTATTGAGATTTTAAATAATGATTATATGTACAGCACTCATATAAATTTCAGTCAACAATCTTGAGCTGCACCTATTCCTAGTCCTGCTCATTTAGTCTAATGTGAATATCCTAGAGGCAATATCATCAAGCATCCAGTCCATGCCCTCGAGAAGATTTTCTCCAGTGACAGCTGAGCACCTCACAATGCGCCAGTGATGTGTCTTAATGCTGTCCAAATCAAGTGCCTGGAATTTCCAATAAAAAATATTTAAATAGCACATCACTAAGATTTGAGCCCTCGAGTTAAAAAAAAACAATTTATTTATATATTATTTTAACACTTACTAAGTAAATTATAACAAGGGCGGCCCTCTCGCATGACCACCAAAACAAGAAATGATAAAGCGATATATCGGCATTAACTGTCAGACTACTGTCAAACTCCACTGTAGTCTGACAGTTAATGCCGATATATTGCTTTATCATAACCCGTTTCAGTGGTCATGCTAGAGGGGCAGATTGGGTGAAGAATCTAAGTTCAGATAAAAATCAACAACATCAACTAGGATCAAGCAAACTCCCAAATGAACTTGCTAAGCAGCTTTCTAACATAAGTTATACATATTCAGACTGGAAGTCAGGTTCTTGAATTAGTGATTGCTCCTGATGGGGAGTTCTAACGAATCCACAAAATTCTTAAAACAAAACTGATTATAGTCTACATGGAGACTGATGGCAGAGAAACATGGAAAAAATGGGTGCGTGTACTTATGTAGGTGCGTGAGAAGTTATCCTTCTTTGGCATCGTTTAAAAATTAGTTTTTAATTGCATGCAAATAATTAATTACAATAAATTAATAAAAGTCTGGAAAAGGACACAGTCAATAAAGTTCAGTTTTAATTTGAAAAAATAAATAAATAATCAAAATATTCAATTAAAATTGCTACTGAATATAATTTATTAGAACATATGTGATTTGCACTTGTATGAAACTCAAACACGTATTCCGAATATACAAACTAGAAACATGTGGATAAATATTATAAATATGAAAACCTTATAACTGTTACTTTATTACAAAAAATAAAGATGTGGTTTTTGGTTCTACTACACCAATGGTCAAGAGATGGCGCTGTAGTCTCCTGAATCGCGCTTTGGTTCCGTTGTTCCAGATTAATAAATACTTTTGATATTATAAATATGAATACCTATAACTGTTACTTTATTACAAAAAATAAAGATGTGGTTTTTGGTTCTACTACACCAATGGTCAAGAGATGGCGCTGTAGTCTCCTGAATCGCGCTTTAGTTCCGTTGTTCCAGATTAATAAATACTTTTGATAGGCCTTCACAATGCAGTCGTTAGCACCCACTAAATAGAGATTCTATTTCTATTTTGTTGGTAGATTTTCTTAATGTGCGGTAAACACAAAAGTAACAGCATGCATGAAGTTGGTCGCTTTAGCTTAGAATTCTTGTGTTACAGTGATGCGCGCGCATCTTAAAATTTCACTCATCATTTTTTCATAACGCGCCTAAAGAAGTATAACTTCAACAAAGAAAAGTACAGATATAAATAAGTCAAGACTCCATAGCTTTACCTCTCTTATCTCGTGCAATGAGAGAGCTCCTGGTAGGTCTGCCTTGTTAGCCAGCACTAGCAACGTAGCGCCGGCCAGCCGCTCCTCGCGCAGTAACGTGCGCAGCTCGCGCCCGCAGTCAGCCAGCCGCCGCGCATCCGCGCTGTCCACCACCCACGCTACACCATCTGTACTTTCGAAGTAGTTCTTCCAGTATGATCTAAGTAAACAATTATTGTTCAATATCTTATATTCTTAATGGGAAACCCGACACTTTAATACTAGTGAAAGTTAATGTAAATAAAAAAAAGTAAATATGACGCATCACCGCAACGATTTTTGGCCGCCGACATCCCAGATGTTCAACGTGTATCCACGATGCTCCAAGGTTTTGATATTGAAGCCGAGGGTTGGCGAGATCGTGTCGATCGGTTCGCCGTTAAATCGCTTCAATATAGTAGTCTTCCCAGCATTATCTAAACCTCTGAATAAGTTTTTTAAGGAAAATAATACATTGCATCAAAACTCCTTAAAAAGTATAGTTTTGAAAAGGATACAACATGAGAATTCTCATTTCTTTCTCCTTCTGTCGGAGTTTCTTTAGTATAGTTAGAAAACCCATTTTTATCAGATTGTTTTTATCATTTCTTTGTGGAAAACTAATCAAAATCAACAACAAGATATTTCGTACAAGCAGGGGATGTCACTGTCACTGTCAATTATTTTTTAATATGCTCTCTTTATGGGGATTCAAAGAATATTAGGCCCATACAGCTTCATTTTTAGTTCTTTTTTATTTGTTATATCTGACACATTTATATACCATTTAACAATCACATTGATGTCAATTCTTAGTCCAGGCAACGAATGCTCAAAAACAGGTATAGAGGGAATTGCTTAGAACACAATTTTTGACTTCGTGACTTTGTTAGGACTAGTTAGGAGGTAAACATATCAAAAGTCCCCGCCCGTAGCCCTTAAGCCGGGGGGAGGGGGGGGGGGGGCTTGAAGGTCCCATTTTTAGGTTTTTCGCATATATCTCGAAAACTATGCATCCTAGCGACATGAGACTTTCACAAAAGTGAAAGCTGATTGAATTTGCTACAAGTCTTATTCAGTCAATTTTTTTGATATCTTGTATAGTTTTCGAGATATCCGCTCTTGAAAGTCTGTAATTATGGAAAAAAAATTCGTTCCCATTTTTGCTCTATTTGACCGGATAACTCTTCAACAATGCACCCAAAAAATAAATGCCGGCCGTAGGGTTGTAGAGCATTAAATTATCTTCAATAATAGAAACAATTGCCTTTTTTTTTTATTTAAGGACAAAATTGTTAGTGTAGTAGACGTATGGGGGCGGTACGGTGGGCACTAGGCCGCGTACTCAGCCCCCACGCGCGGGCCGTCCTGCGCACGTCTGTGGGGTCCTCGCGATACCCCGGGAGACCCCTGCCGCGGAACCTCGGCAAGGCCGGGAGGCTGCTAGGTGCGGAGACGCGGAAGAATCCCTAAACGGGGATTCCGCGGCTTCGCACTAAGCAGCTTAGAGGGTGTTCGCAGGGTTTTTTAGCGGATAAAACCGTAAGGTTTACGGGGTCCTCAGTGGGCAGCCACTGCTGGGGCTCGTAAGGCTTGCGGGAGCCAGGTGTGAGGTCCGTTCGGCGGTGTGCCTCTTAAAGGCGCCGTCGTCTGTAAATAGTATTTTTTGCCTGCGTATAAAAAAAAAGGGTAGTAGACGTATTGACTAAAGGGGGTGTCCTGCGTTCCTGTTCCCCAGCGTGCCAAAATTGCCAGGGGAACTGCTTGAATGGGGTCCCTCAAGTTGACTCCGAAGGTGAAGAAGAACAGGAGGATCCTCTGACCGTTTCCCTACAGGGTTCCGATGGAGAAAATGACACAGACAAAGAAAATGTAAACGAAGACGAGGATCAAGGTCCTTCCCACCCCAAAAGAGCAAGAAATTAACTATATTGGATTTTTTTACAAATCTCTTTTTGCACGTCATAGTGAATTGTATCGAAAACTGCGGCCGCATTCGTACCTGACCTGTATAGCCAATGAGAACCGGAAAAAAACCAGAGGCACAGGGCCCTACCGTCTCAATTTTTTTTAAAGTCCAGTTTTATAATTTTAATCATTCTTAATACTACTTTTTGTGTTGAGCTGGACCAATACTTTATTAAATAATCATCTAATTTATAATAACCTTTTTTGCATAAAGTAGTTAACTCTTGCAGTTTTTTTAAACTTATTTTCTGGATTGTGTGAAGAACCTGGTCAGTGGGCCAACAAGTACATATTCTAAAATGAGCATGTGTGCTATTTAGACATCGGTGCATCGTTAAAGAGTTATCCGAGAGTTATCCGGTCAAATAGAGCATAAATGTAAAGCATTTTTTTTTTCTATAATTACAGATTTTCAAGAGCGGATATCATTATTACAGATATTATTATTAGATAATTACAGTTTCTCAATGACACTAATTTACTTTCTTTTTTACTTATGGACCTCACACCTGGCTCCCGCAAGCCTTAAGAGCCCCAGCAGTGGCTGCCCACTGAGGACCCCGTAACCCTTACGGGCGCTATACGGCATAATATCCGCTAAAAAACCCTGCGAACACCCTCTAAGCTGCTTAGTGCGAAGCCGCGGAATCCCCGTTTAGGGATTCTTCCGCGTCTCCGCACCTAGCAGCCTCCCGGCCTTGCCGAGGTTCCGCGGCAGGGGTCTCCCGGGGTATCGCGAGGACCCCACAGACGTGCGCAGGACGGCCCGCGCGTGGGGGCTGAGTACGCGGCCTAGTGCCCACCGTACCGCCCCCATACGTCTACTACACTAACAATTTTGTCCTTAAATAAAAAAAAAAGGCAATTGTTTCTATTATTGAAGATAATTTAATGCTCTACAACCCTACGGCCGGCATTTATTTTTTGGGTGCATTGTTGAAGAGTTATCCGGTCAAATAGAGCAAAAATGGGAACAATTTTTTTTTCCATAATTACAGACTTTCAAGAGCGGATATCTCGAAAACTATACAAGATATCAAAAAATTTGACTGAATAAGACTTGTAGTAAAATTAATCAGCTTTCACTTATGTGAAAGTCTCATGTCGCTAGGATGCATAGTTTTCGAGATATATGCGAAAAACCTAAAAATGGGACCTTCAAGCCCCCCCCCCCCCCCTCCCCCCGGCTTAAGGGCTACGGGCGGGGACTTTTGATATGTTTACCTCCTAACTAGTCCTAACAAAGTCACGAAATCAAAAATTGTGTTCTAAGCAATTCCCTCTATACCTTTTCGTTGACTGGACTATCTGGTATGATTCTCTAAAGCTAAACTTAAATTTGACAACAGTGCATCCTTGTCCTTCTCTATACAGAATGGAAGGGTGAGACTGACCTTAAATTTAGTTCTAAGTTTAGAGAATCACGCCAGAATTGACACTTACAATGTTAAAATAAAAAATCAATTGTTTCTTGGCGAGTTTCACACTAAAAACCGTCAGCTTTCTCGGGCAGTCTTTGTAAGGCAATCATCACTTCAATAAAATTCTCACGTCCACTTGAAGGAATTAACGTATACATATTTTAAGGATTACATAATAGGCTAGTTTACTCATGTCGAATTGTATTAAATAAATGTTTATTTCTTAAAGTATTTAGTCTAAGGAACCTTAATATATCGATTTCACTTCATAAAAGCAGAAGATTGCTGTAGAAATTTAATTTTAAAAAATATTTCTTAGTCTATATTTTTTAAACACTAAAAACGCTTAAATCTAAAGAAAATATAACTAGAAAAAATTCCACGCGGACCAGGCAGCAGACGGGACTCGAACCCGCACCCTTCGCAATCCGGGCGAATGCACTGACCAATTATGCTACCGCGGCCCTCACGGACCGCGTCGAAATTCCTTCTAGCTATTCTTAAGCTGCAAGGCAGCGTCATCTCTTCGCATTATAGGTAAACCCACAATGTCAAATGAATACTTTTACAAGTATTAAACATTTGAAAGAAGAAATAGCAATTATAGTTATAATTTTTATTATTTTTAAAGCATGTAACTGCTTGATGTTTAAATCTAAAGAAAATATAACTAGAAAAAATTCCACGCGGACCAGGCAGCAGACGGGACTCGAACCCGCACCCTTCGCAATCCGGGCGAATGCACTGACCAATTATGCTACCGCGGCCCTCACGGACCGCGTCGAAATTCCTTCTAGCTATTCTTAAGCTGCAAGGCAGCGTCATCTCTTCGCATTATAGGTAAATCCACAATGTCAAATGAATACTTTTACAAGTATTAAACATTTGAAAGAAGAAATAGCAATTATAGTTATAATTTTTATTATTTTTAAAGCATGTAACTGCTTGATGTTTAAATCTAAAGAAAATATAACTAGAAAAAATTCCACGCGGACCAGGCAGCAGACGGGACTCGAACCCGCACCCTTCGCAATCCTATGTGGGTTTACCTATAATGCGAAGAGATGACGCTGCCTTGCAGCTTAAGAATAGCTAGAAGGAATTTCGACGCGGTCCGTGAGGGCCGCGGTAGCATAATTGGTCAGTGCATTCGCCCGGATTGCGAAGGGTGCGGGTTCGAGTCCCGTCTGCTGCCTGGTCCGCGTGGAATTTTTTCTAGTTATATTTTCTTTAGATTTAAACATCAAGCAGTTACATGCTTTAAAAATAATAAAAATTATAACTATAATTGCTATTTCTTCTTTCAAATGTTTAATACTTGTAAAAGTATTCATTTGACATTGTGGGTTTACCTATAATGCGAAGAGATGACGCTGCCTTGCAGCTTAAGAATAGCTAGAAGGAATTTCGACGCGGTCCGTGAGGGCCGCGGTAGCATAATTGGTCAGTGCATTCGCCCGGATTGCGAAGGGTGCGGGTTCGAGTCCCGTCTGCTGCCTGGTCCGCGTGGAATTTTTTCTAGTTATATTTTCTTTAGATTTAAACATCAAGCAGTTACATGCTTTAAAAATAATAAAAATTATAACTATAATTGCTATTTCTTCTTTCAAATGTTTAATACTTGTAAAAGTATTCATTTGACATTGTGGGTTTACCTATAATGCGAAGAGATGACGCTGCCTTGCAGCTTAAGAATAGCTAGAAGGAATTTCGACGCGGTCCGTGAGGGCCGCGGTAGCATAATTGGTCAGTGCATTCGCCCGGATTGCGAAGGGTGCGGGTTCGAGTCCCGTCTGCTGCCTGGTCCGCGTGGAATTTTTTCTAGTTATATTTTCTTTAGATTTAAACATCAAGCAGTTACATGCTTTAAAAATAATAAAAATTATAACTATAATTGCTATTTCTTCTTTCAAATGTTTAATACTTGTAAAAGTATTCATTTGACATTGTGGGTTTACCTATAATGCGAAGAGATGACGCTGCCTTGCAGCTTAAGAATAGCTAGAAGGAATTTCGACGCGGTCCGTGAGGGCCGCGGTAGCATAATTGGTCAGTGCATTCGCCCGGATTGCGAAGGGTGCGGGTTCGAGTCCCGTCTGCTGCCTGGTCCGCGTGGAATTTTTTCTAGTTATATTTTCTTTAGATTTAAACATCAAGCAGTTACATGCTTTAAAAATAATAAAAATTATAACTATAATTGCTATTTCTTCTTTCAAATGTTTAATACTTGTAAAAGTATTCATTTGACATTGTGGGTTTACCTATAATGCGAAGAGATGACGCTGCCTTGCAGCTTAAGAATAGCTAGAAGGAATTTCGACGCGGTCCGTGAGGGCCGCGGTAGCATAATTGGTCAGTGCATTCGCCCGGATTGCGAAGGGTGCGGGTTCGAGTCCCGTCTGCTGCCTGGTCCGCGTGGAATTTTTTCTAGTTATATTTTCTTTAGATTTAAACATCAAGCAGTTACATGCTTTAAAAATAATAAAAATTATAACTATAATTGCTATTTCTTCTTTCAAATGTTTAATACTTGTAAAAGTATTCATTTGACATTGTGGGTTTACCTATAATGCGAAGAGATGACGCTGCCTTGCAGCTTAAGAATAGCTAGAAGGAATTTCGACGTGGTCCGTGAGGGCCGCGGTAGCATAATTGGTCAGTGCATTCGCCCGGATTGCGAAGGGTGCGGGTTCGAGTCCCGTCTGCTGCCTGGTCCGCGTGGAATTTTTTCTAGTTATATTTTCTTTAGATTTAAACATCAAGCAGTTACATGCTTTAAAAATAATAAAAATTATAACTAAAAACGCTGTTCGCCACATCCGCCATGATTTTGACGTCTCTTGTGGTAAACAACTAAATGTCATTCGCGTGTTACTGTAGGTGGATTCTTTCGTCTGACTAAATTTATCTTAAAACACTTTTAACTTTAGGAAAGAAAAAATGGTTGCCTGTAAAGTCGGTTTTACGGGCGAAGATTTTACGTGACAACGTCTTTTTCTCGGTAGAATATTTATTGATATGAATATAATTAAATTGCACAATAGGAACAAGGAATTGAATGAAAATAAGAATTGCACAAATTTTAACTATAGAAATATATTTTGTTTACTAAAACATTGTACATGTAAACTTAAACTTAACACGAGAGACTCATCGTAACGTTACCGAGCGTTACACTTTTTCATAAGTGACTCCCAGCCGCAACCTAATTTAAGACGTTGTCACGTCAAAAAACAGTAAACTTAGTTTTTTTTGTCAAAACTAATTAAGGATGCCGGCTTTGTGAAAGCAGAAAGCACAAATCTGCCAAGAATTGACGCATTGATGGTTGGTGAATTTGTTGCACTAAACCCCGATTTCTGCTCTGCGGAGCAGAGAAACGACAAGGCATCTATGTAAGTACAGTGCATTTAGTATTACAATGGTGCCAATTCTGGCGTGATTCTCTAAACTTATAACTGAATTTAACATCAGTCTCTCCTTCTCATTATGTATAGAGAATGACAAGGATATACTGCTGTCCAATTTTAGTTTAGGTTTAGAAAATCATGCTAGAATCGACACCAATGTAGTAATAAACATAAAACTGATACAACATATGAATAAGTGTAATAAAGTTGCGTAGGTTAATTTCTTTCGGCACTTTAAACCACAACGTACAATACAGTAATGATAATTACTTTATTTTTCGTGGTATTTATTAGAAATCATGTTTTTTTTTATTATAAACTCAGTTAAAAGTAATTTTCTACGTGTTTACGAGTTTTTGTTTACCACAGTTCACGTCATAGCATAGATAATCTATAGACTAAAATGGCCGACAGCGTTTTTGTATGTCCATGAAAAGTCTATTTTAAAATTAAAGATTTGTAGCTTTCTAGGTTTAAAAAAAATATAATACATTTTTTTTCGGTCTAATAGAACATTTATGAACAATTTAAAACCTTTTTCCAAAAAGGGTCAACTAGCCTATTCAGTTACGTAGACGAAGGTAACATATTTCTAAAACAAAATATCAGCACTTTTAGTTATGATTTCACTAGAATAGGGAAGATGCAATATTTTTGTTTTCATTTTAAAGAATTCCATGTAGAATAAACCACAGATATATAAAAAAATTAAAACATTGTGATTTATCGGAAAAAATGCGGTTTTAAATTGACAATGGTGTCGATTCTGGCGTGATTCTCTAAACTTAAAACTAAATTTAACATCAGTCTCTCTTTTTCATTCTGTATAGAGAACGACGGGGATGCACTGTTGTCAAATTTAAGTTTAGCTTTAGAGAATCATGCCAGAATCGACATCATTATCAATTTTCGCGCGAAAACTAACCTATGGTTGCGATGACGTCACTCCTGTCAGTCACTGGTCGTAATTGTTCGTTGCTGGTTTTAGAATTTCATACTTTTGCATATTTTTTCGACTTTCGAAATATTTTTTTGAAAAATTTAAAATGTACTATCCGTCAACATCATGTGATCATAACAATACTACTAATATTCCGAAAAAAAGCCGTGTTGACTCATGTTTTGTTCCAATCTACTTCAACAAAGTTCCCAAATTAATTGTTTTTGACTGGAACTTCTGACCCAAAACTGAAAAAAAAAGTGGTTTCAAGCTGCGAAGAGAAATGACAATTATTCTCCAAAGACCATTATTCGATGCTGAGAAGATCACTTTGACGTATGTCGGCGAATATACTTGTTATATGCTTAATTAATCTGCTTGTACGTAAAAACGCATTAGTAACCTACCTAATACTTACAAAACCTGTCTATAACATATTTTTAATTTTACAGTTGGAGAATGGTGTCGATTCTGGCGTGATTCTCTAAACTTAAAACTAAATTTAACATCAGTCTCTCTTTTTCATTCTGTATAGAGAATGACAAGGTAACACTGTTGTCAAGTTTAAGTTTAGATTTAGAGAATCGTGCCAGAATCGACACCAATGACGTCGGAAATTAGATAAAGTTTAAAATGTGTAGCACAATCTTCACATTGGCAGGACTGAACCAAGCTTTGCGTTTCATTTAAAATAACTGTAACACGATAACCTTCTTTACGTACTTTATGCTCCGGAGAACTCGACATTTTACTGTACATAATTTTCCATCTCTTTTAATTTGGACATAGCCGATTGCATTATCGTCGTAAGATTTGTAGAAGCCGCTGAATAAAATACGAAGTTTAACAACTACGATTTTTACATACCGTAGTAATTTAGTCCCTTTCATTTCTACACTTAAAAACTCTGCACTTTGGACAAAAAAAGTTATAACCATGTCAACGCTAACTCTTGGTAAATTCCTGGAGTCTGCTTTGATAAACGCAACTTCCATTTTTATTAAATGTAAAAAAACGCAATAAATATTCCCATAAAATAATATTAACTTTAACAACCATAACCTCAAAGAAGTTGTCATAACAGGAGTGACTTCATTAAACGCTGATTGGTGTTTTAATATACGTTCCGTTTCAAGTATTTTTAATTCGTAATAATTGTTAAAAACAACATTATGTAAAATAAAAACGTTGCAGTGGCATTTCTTTTATATTTTTTTAACATTTTAATCATAAAATTTTCATAAATATTATATAAGCATCTTCCCTATTTTGTTTTATCCCGTCGTAATCTACATTGGTTTTTATACTGTGCCCAACTTTAATGACTTACTTATTAGTGGAAGTCCTCATTTAAGTGACATATTGTTACGTGTCGGGATGGGGTTCGAAATTAGATGCCAGTTCACGCTTGACAGTTCTTTATTCACCACACAGTTCACACAATTAACTCACAATAATAATTACAAAACACTCACTAAACACTGTATTTAACTATACAAATCTCTAAACAATCGCACTTGCTTGAACACTTTTGTTGCACTTTGACCGCCTTTGGATTCGCTCCGAAATTGCTGTTAAAACTCAACTGTCTCTGCGCGGCGCCAATCGCACTTATATGTATACGCCAATCGACGCATTCTAGAAAGTACCTGTTAAATTGAGAGTTAGCTAGCACCCGCGAGTACATAGTACCTACTTATACCTACGCAGGTAACGCGCTTACTTGAAAACAAGTGCAGATGTCGTTGCACTTTATCCCTTACGCCGCACTGCATAAAGCTCATTTTAGAATGAGCTACATTACTGGACCTCTATCGCGACCCGCGGTGCTCTGGCACATTCGATCTCTAGCACTTTCGCGGTTCCGTTTCGAGAGCGTTTGTGATAATATATTCATACGATACAGTGTTTGAGATTGACTAATGCCATATATGAATCGCTAAATTGCTACCTTGATGTTTTGCAATTTATAACCACCCAATACATGCTCCAACCATACTCAATACGTTTATACTCCTACTTTATTTTATAACCCTTAGAAGAAAGCGTTAAAGACATCGCATCGCAACTATGAGAAGCCTCAAAGTTAATAAAGCAGCGATTGCAAAATGAAATGAAATGAAATTTATTTGCATTAATTGTGGTTACAATGATGTTTTTAAATGATTAGGTCAGATCGCACAATTAGCCGCTTTCAGCATGCAAAAATTAATTGAAATATCTCTTATCTATTAGACAAGTCCGTCCGTCCGTCTGTGGTGCTGTTTCAGCGGCCAAACCGTAAGAGATAGATAAAGAGAATATTTAAGTTATAAGTTAAGAATAGTCTGATAAGACTACAAACCGGATTTGAGTTCCGGTTTTCGAGAAATCACGAATTTCAAACGAAACCACACAAAATCTCCGAAGTTCTCAATTAATTAATTTTTTTTTAAATCAGGTTTTGGTGAACATTTGGTTCACTGGTTTGCTAGTAGATTTATAATATGACTTTTTTGTACTTAGAGCATATCTCTTAGTCTATGTAAAATACTTATTTGCAAAATAAAAAATCTAATACATTGTTAAAATAAAATGTCAAAAGAAAATCACATAACGTCACATCTCATCTTCAGTAGGTACAATATACGTTAATTTCATGTAAGTCTACAACTTCATTTTACGATTTGAATTGATTCACATAGCCTTAATAAATAATTTCATAATAATTTGTATTAAAAAACAAACAAAAGATAAATTATAAATAACAGATACAATAATATGTCAAACAAAGAAAAAAAATATTAAGTAGGCACTATACAACGCATATTAATTTCTTATAAGGCAACAATTTCATTTTCATTATTTAAATTGACACATTTATTCACTAATAATTATTGTATTAAAATAAATAATAATTAATTATGACTCATAAAATATTCGCCAATACAATAAAAACATTTGTCGACAAGCCAGGCATGTAATTTATTTTTAAACAAGTTAAATGTTAATTTTTTTATGATATGAGGCAAATGATTATAGATTTTTACACACATAAAGTATGAGTTTTTGGTGCAAATAACCATTTGACTATCAGGCAAAACATCACCCATTTAAAAAAAGGTGCAAAATACTGGATCGTATTTCATAATACGTACGATCATTTTATTGGTCCAAGTAGTGATCTTTGCGGGGTTCTCCTGCTTTGATTTCGTAAAATCTTCTAGTCGTAGGTACCTTTTGTTAGAAAAGTCAAACTTGATCTTAGTGCCTTTTCACATGTACACGGACATGGAACGGTTGCCGTGCCGTGTAAAATAGTAATGTATGAGCAACAATGAGAGCTTTCACATTGCACGGCGACCGTGCCGTGACCGCGTGTCAGCCGTCCTTATCCACTATAAGCACGGTTTTGACGCGGCAACCGTCTTTATAGTATTGTATGGACTTGTATAGACGCGTTCACATGAACACGGGCGCGGTACGGCACGGCGAGCGCAAATACCATTCGTCAGCTAAAGTCATAGGGGAACGGACGGACGATTGTTACAGAATGTCTGTCGAAATCGATGTTGATGTGTTGATTTCGCTAGTTGAAGCGCGTCCTACTTTATGGGATAAAACCATCGCGTCTTATAAAAACAGGAACGAGACAAAAGAATCGTGGAAAGAAGTATGTATAGGATTAAATAGAAGTTTCGAAGAATTAGATGATAATGAAAAGAATCTTTTTTTGTTCCATGATGAAAGACGTCGTCGTTCCCCAAAATTCTCGATAATATTGCAACATCCATAGCCGGCGACCGTGTGTAAGCCGTATACATGTGAAAGAGCTAGCACGGTTGCACGGCATGGCGGCCGTGCCTTGACCGTGTGTATGTGAAAAGGGCCTTACAATACAACACTACTATGCTATCATATGGTTAGAGCATGGTCAGAGCCAGACCCTATCGAATGGTTGTTGGATATCTAAAGAATACGATTCTTTAATTTCCAATGAAGAACTTTACTTATGATAGATATAAATCCTGAATTTCAATGGCGTAAAAACGTTTAAGCTTGATTTATTGTATTTTTATCAATTCAATGGTGTCGATTCCAGCGTGATTCTCTAAACTTAAAACTAAATTTAACATCAGTCTGTCCTTTTCATTCTGTATAGAGAATGACAAGGATACACTGTTGTCAAATTTAAGTTTAGATTTAGAGAATCGTGCCAGAATCGACACCATTATCCATCCATCTTCCCTTTTTTTATTTCCTGATGATAGTCTGTATCCAACCAAAGCCAATAGTGGAAACTTTTTCAGGAAATCGAAACGGAATCCATTAGTAACCATAGAGTAAAATATCCATCCATGGCCGATCTCGCTGCTGTCATGTATTTTATTTAATTTCTACTTCAATTATGAAGCTCCTTCAATGATTTTGTGTGGGTTAATGGTGTGGAAGTGATCGTGTGGTGGCGCAGTCTCGGTGATACGGCTCGTTGGTCGGCGGCACCATGTTCAGCGGAACGGTGCGACTGCGGGTTTGCGAGGCGACGGGACTACGGCCGACCGACTTTCAGAAAAGGCACAACATGACCTTCGGGAAGCCAGGTGCGTTCCTGAAATTAACATATTATGTCTTTAAAAATACTGCTTTTCGAAATTAAACAATTAAAATAACTCTATGTTTCTGATTAGTCTAAAATATTCAGCCTGAAAAGGCGTAGCATGTTTACCAAAATGGGTGAATATAATATATGTAAATACGCGGTATGGTTGCAGACGACCAGCCGATAGACCCATACGTTTCGATTGACGCCGACGAACATCACCTAGACCGTTCAAGCACAAAACCCAAAACATTTGACCCAGTATGGAATGAGACCTTTACACATGAAGTGCACAATGTTACCAGGTAAGATCATTGCACGATATCCTTTAGAGTAACTTCAAATATAGAAAACAATAATAACATAATCTCACTCTTTCAGTTTGGGAATCACTGTGTTTCATGATGCTGCAATACCACCAGATGATTTTGTTGCTAACTGCACTATTCCTTTTGAAGATCTCATGCATCGGGATAAAGACGCCTTGGATTTTTGGGTAAATTTCGATAAGTTAATTAACATTGTTTATGTGTCTTTATGTTATGTTTGCCAGTGGACGACTGGAAATGATTCAGTTCCAACTACTTTATCCTTTCTAATCTTAAGATAAGATATAGATATTGCATGTTTGTGTTGTAAGCTACTGTCAAGGTTCAGAATATTGTTTGTTTTGACTGATAAGCCTTTTCTGTGTTTTTGAAATGGCATTGAAATTGAGAAGTTGTTTAGGACTGTTGTTGCTACCGTGTTGTGGGCATGCATCATTTGAGGAGGAGATTCTCTAGTCCTGATCCGAGATATGTCCAATTAGAAGAGGAGGAGACGAGTCATGTAATAAGAGTATCCTGTTTGTTTGCGTGAATCATAATTCCCCTTAGTTTATTTATGATTTTCCTTAAACTCTGTGAATTACTCATTGTCACAGACTTACCAGAAATTATTGTTGTGATTAATATGAATTTAATGTATTTTATAACTTTCAGGTGGACCTAGAACCTAATGGGAAATTGCATCTCAAAATAGATCTGAAATGGAATTCACAGGGTGAGTGGTGTTTGTACGTTTGATTATGACCCGTTTGAAAGTAATTCTGTGATTTGAATTGTTTTTCAAAAACTAATCATAAATTAAACTATTAAAAAAATTTACACAGTTTAATTTGGTCCCAAAATACATGATTGATCTTTTTAAGAAAGTTGTGTTTCAGACTGAGGGATTTGTGGTTCATGTATGCTATCTAATAGAAAACATTGACTTTCAATAATTTTGCATTTATAAGTAACTTATTATGTGCCCATCTCTTACTATTTTTTCATTTTATTTTCCTTATTAAAAATGTATTTTGAAATTATTGAGTAATGATGACTAATAAGATGACATTGATGTCATAGTTACTTTTACTCTACAATACATACAAAATCTCTTTGTATTATACATATATAAACTAATAAATAATATTTATATCATATATTTGATGTCAATTGGGTCTGAGGTTTTTTATAATGAAGATGTTTTAATTCTCATTTCGTCATGATTAAATTTATTGATACTGTTTATTTGCATAAAAATGCATATTTTTAATTCAAATTATTATGAGATAAAGTCCATTAGACTTGTTTAAATAAATTATCCTGTATCGTCATTAGGCTCTCTTAAAAAAACACTTAATGTTCAGTTAAGAAACTGCCTAATAAATTAAAAACAAAACTTCTGTGCTAGGCTCATGGAGTTCCAAATCAGAATTTTCCTAATCAGCAAACTACATATGCGCTTAGCTTTTTTAGTAAACTGATTAACATGTTATTCTACAATAACATGGAATTAGATTACCATTTGATTTCTTAACAAATATTTGTTAGGAGTTCAAGCTGATTTTGTTGAATAAGTCAAATGATTTTTATTATGAAGATTAATAGCCTGATCAATATAATTAAATGTTTTACCATGTTGTAGATTACAAATGCATCTCAGTAATTGGTGTATTTTGTAGGTATACTGCCTTGTTGATCTATATGTTTTTCCTACATCTTTTGTAGTTGATGACTTGCAATGGAGTGCCTTATCGATGCAGATAGTCAGTGGCAAACACTTTGAGCGAAACCATAGTCAAATAAACTTGCAAAGTTGATGTTTCTGTATGTAAAATCGTTACTGCCCAGGTTTAACTGTCTCTTGTTTATGCTCTAGATATTTGGAATGTATACTGTCATGTTGTTGATAGTTGCCGATTAGTCTTTCTTAGATTTACAAAGCACCAACGCTAGAGGCCGTATGACATTTTCCTTTTTTATTAGACAAGACGCGTTTGAATGGGATATATTGGTGTGACTCATAGTGAGTTACCGTCAGTCAGTTTTTGGTCGTGCGTCAAACAAAACGTTTATGCCTGGGTGTGCTGTATTTGGATGGCCAAATGAATGCATCAAGTTTAAATAGTGAATAAAAAAGATTGACAGGGCTCGCGAAGCTCTATCTATCGTTTTGCTTCGCGTTCAGAGGCCCAAGCGTGAATTTTGACAGCTTCGATATTGTCATTATCAAAATTTGTATGGACGCTGCCGTTAGCCGATGATGCGATACTGTTACAGATCTGTCAAAATTCGTGTTCGGGCCTCTGAACGTAAAGTAAAACGATCCATAATGCTTCGCGAGCCCTGAGCCTTCGCCGAGGCCCCCTTAGCATGAGCACCACGATACGATATGTAGCTCGTTTTTTATCAGGCTCAAGTGTCATATTATACTAGAGTTTGATAGGTAAACGTGATAAAAAAACGAGCGAGCCTCACAGTAGTCGCGTATGATGTGTAACATTTGAAACCTCACCTTAAATTAGTAAAAAAAGAAATAAAACCTACCGTAAAAGGAATAAGCCATCGGAGCATTATGTTCTGAAATCAAATAAAATAGCGCGCGCTTTCGCGACTTCCTGTCACGCGCTTCCGTCCCATTTCACGAAATCGCTCCCACAAATTGCAGGAAAGCGAGAGGAAAAAGATGTTACACATCAAAAACATGATATAATGCATAATGTGGGGGTCATGCTACGGGGACGGGAGCTCGCCCGCGTATCAAACGTACGCGTAGACCGAGTACGCGGACGTATGATGAGTACGGTTGATATGGTCGTGTACGGGACAGGATGCGTGGAGCGGACGGGCTTGGGCGCGGGGGCCGGGGGCGGGGCGGGGCGCCCGGGTGGCGGCGGGGGGCGCGCGGGGGGCGCGGGCGGGGGAGGGGGAGGCGCCGGGCGGGAGTTCAAGGAGGGCGCGGGGTTCGCGCGCCGGCGCGGGGCCATGCGGCGCCGCGTGCACCAGGTCAACGGGCACAAGTTCATGGCCACCTTCCTGCGGCAACCCACCTTCTGCAGCCACTGCCGCGAGTTCATATGGTGAGCGACCCCGCGTATAGGTACATATACATATACAGCCGCCGGGCGGGAGTTCAAGGAGGGCGCGGGGTTCGCATCAGAGTTATGTGACCAAAGTGCACCTATCGGGTAGTAATTTACCTCCACAACGGTGAAATAACACTATCTTTCAGTGCTTTGTGTTTCTGTCGGTAAGTAACGTTTCTAGGTCTCCACAGACTGGAAGACCGGGGTTATACAGGGTAGACGACGACAAAACTGGTGCCCGCATACTACCTGACGACCCATGTGTTTTTTTATATCTACCTTACACAAAAAAGGTAAATATAAATAGAAAACTATGAAAGAAACGAGGCGATCACGCGACCAGTTCTCGTAGGTATGGTCCGGACGATCGCTTTATCTCTTTTAAGACTATTGTCAATTTCATGCAGGTTTTGCTCAGTCTAGTACAGTTCTGGCCCCGCCTTAAATTTTTTTTGGAGTGGGTGTGCTGTCGGTCACAGATGGCCTTTACAACGTCAGATCCTAAGGGACCTCAAGCCGAGAATTGGCGAGTGCCTCTAAAGGTATTCCAGGCGGATGGCATCTCTCCACGGGGGGAGTCTCCTCTCCGTCTGGAGCCTCTAGACCACTCTAACCTGAGGGGGTCGGCTCAACTAGAGGGCGTCTCTGAGACTCGGACCTCGGCTGTAGTTAGCCGTTGTCGTAGGGGGCGGGGAAAAACGCCCAGTATCTGGTATAGCGTGTCGTGTGTAGACCGGGTCATCGCACTCTTCCTACGAGTGCGGTATCTGCTTAATGCTACGCTAGTATGCTAGCTGTGTAATGTTGGTGTTTGTGGCCTATGTGGGAGGAGCTGGAGGCGCGTTGGCGCGGGTGATTTCGTCGTCGGGGTACTCTAAGACGTGCCTAGGCCGACGGAAACAAACTATCTTGATATGAAAGCCCGCCTTAGATATAGCAAACTTAATGACGATCGTGAATTAAGCGCGATTCGCTGCACTATAAAAATATGTGCGGGATGGCCAATCGACTGTACCTGCAAGTAGTTGTACTCTCTGCTATCTTCATAATGTAACTGAAACACACTTTTCTACTCGTATCATTATCAGTCTATTAATGCCCTCACTGCTGGGGCACAGGGCTTCCCTATGGAATAAAAATTATAACTATAATTGCTATTTCTTCTTGTAAAAGTATTCATATGACATTGTGGGTTACCTACAATGCAGCTTAAGAATGGCTAGAAGAATTTGGACGCGGCCGTCAGGGTCGCGGTAGCATAATTGGTCAGTGCATTCGCCCGGATTGCGGGTACGGGTTTGAGTCCCGTCTGCTGCTTGGTCCGCGTGGATATTTTTCTAGTTATATTTTCTTTAGATTAAAACATCAAGCAGTTACATGCTTAAAAAATGAAAAAATATATATCATCATCAGCCTATTAATGTCCCCACTGCTGGGGCACAGGCCTTCCCTATGGATGGAATAGGGAGATTAGGCCATGACCCATCACGCGGGCCCAGTGCGGATTGGCGGGTGCTAACGACTGCAGATGCAGCCGGAACCAACGGCTTAACGTGCCTTCCGAAGCACGGAGGAACTCGAGATAGAAGATTTTTGGTCATTCATCCAATGATCCAACGTAACTACATATTAAGCTTTTGTGGTTGTGGGGAAGATAGTCTAGAAATGTATATTTTATATGATCACAATAATATGCTTGGTAATGATTTGTATTTATTATACTGTATTTTTCAGGGGCCTCGGTAAACAAGGATACCAATGTCAAGGTAAGTGGTTTTCTAATCTAAAACTTGTAGATTTATACGTAACTAGCTGACTCGGCGAACTTCGTACCGCCTTAGCGTAGCTTTGATGCACTACTTTATTTTCTATATATATAAAAATGAAACCCGTTTTCCGTTGTCACGACATAACATGAAAACGGCTTGACCGATTTGGCTGATTTTTTTTTGTAGTTTTCTAATACTCTGTACAAGGTTCTTACGGAAAAAAATATAAAGAAAATCTCTCAGAAAGATTGAAAAATATAACGTAACGAATGTCAACGTCATTCAATTTAAAACAAAAAATCTGTGGTAATCTTGACACCACATAGCTGACTCGGCGAACTTCGAACCGCCTTAGCGTAGCTTTGATGCACTACTTTATTTTGTATAGCTGACCTATCTTATGTATGAGTACCTATTCATTGTTAGCGCGGTTATGGATGTGTTGTCACAGACCACAGATTTTTTTGTTTTAAATTGAATGACGTTGACATTCGTTACGTTATATTTTTCAATCTTTCTGAGAGATTTTCTTTATATTTTTTCCGTAAGAACCTTGTACAGAGTATTAGAAAACTACAAAAAAAAAAAACAGCCAAATCGGTCAAGCCGTTTTCATGTTATGTCGTGACAACGGAAAACGGGTTTCATTTTTATATATATAGAAGATATTTCGATTTGATTTTTCAAATTTCATTTTGTAGGGTTTTTCCAGAGCTAAAAGGCTATGTCAATTCTCTCTTTAAATTCTATTGTCTAAAATTCTCTAATAATCTCTTTAAATTCCTTGGTTTTGAAATGGGGTGCAATAAAAGGGCTCGAATAAGTTGATGCTTGCTTGTAAATAGAGGCTTTAAACGGGCATATCTTGCCAAAGAGACGAAGTTCTTAGCAATCTATGGATTCACCGTGTGGGTGCCGGATCCATGGAGTGGGAGAGAGAGAATCTCGGAGCAGTTCCTGGGACTGGCGACCCACGTGTAGGTGTAAGGAGACCCCCCTTTAAGATGCGCATCAACGCCCACTTTTACTGCTCGAGTTGCCCTCCTAGCCAAATTTGATAGGAGGCTCTTAGTGCAGCTTTAGTTGTTTGCTCCAAAATTGCTGAAAATTGCTTTTCACTTAACTCCATTTTTTTCCCTCAAGCAATTTAAATTAGAGAAATTTCTAGAATATACACATATATATTGATAATACATATATAAAGCGAATTGTAGAAGGGCAAAGATCAAATTTAATTAGAAGGGTAACTTGGGGGTCGTTTTTACTGATTTTTTTCGGTAAAGAAAGTAGGGACCGACCTTATTTTTTTTCATACTCGCTCAATTTTCATGCTAGAGACTGAGACTCATTTTTAAAGAAAGGCTAGGCTTACGATATTATATGTTGTAAAAAGATTTGTAAGTTTTCCTCGAAAAATTCACAGTCTTTCCGATATTTGACTTTGAATCTTTCAAATTTAGCATTTGACGAACAAAAGCTTACCATTAACAAGCCGTAGCTTGGCTCATATTGGTTGCAGAGAGATCATAGAAAAATTTGTGTCAACTACATTCAAACATTGTGTGTTGTTTGTCAACAGTATGCACGTGCGTGGTGCACAAGCGATGCCACTCGTCCGTCGTCACAAAGTGCCCGGGGATGAAGGAGGAGGTATGTGCTTATTTCATATCAATTTAGGTTATTTTTATAAGGTATTTTCCAGATTTTTAAAAACTGCTTGTACTTAAAGATTGGGAAAAACAGAAAAATAAAATATTTGTCCTTAGGTTTTCTCGCATATCACTCATTAAATGAAACTAGTTTTTCACGGGTTAATGCACGGAACTTTATTTATTTATTGACGTTTCGCAAATAAAAAATCATTCCGACGAAGAAACTTTGTTAAGGCTGCGAAACGTTAATAAATAAATAAAGTTTCGTGCATTAACCTTAGATTAAAACAAAAAGGGTAGATACGGTACGCTCATACTAGCATCAAACAAAAACATATCCCACGGCAGCGCGAACGGGACGGCGAGATCCGCGTCACTGCATTACCGACCCGAACGAAACAGCACGTTAAGTTTCAACGGCAGCGCGAACGAGACGGCGAGATCCGCGTCACTGCACTACCGACAAATCACCCGACCAGTACTCGACGTCACTACCGAATAAGATCCAAAGCAAACAACAATTTTTATGAAAATATATATTTTATAGTACTTACGAATGAAAAGTAATGCCGTGGGTTTTATTTTTAGTTCTTGAGCAATTTGAGCACTTTTCAAAAACACACTTAGGCATTGTTTTATCATAAAAACCCAAAATATCGAGCCGTTACCGCCAAATTATCGTAAGCGACACTTTTGTCGAAATGCGTTTTTTGTGGAAACTAATATTTTAAACCGTAAAGGACCCATCTCTGTTGATATTTCCCTCCAAAAGAACACCGTTATAATATAATAGAGGGAAATATCAACAGAGATGGGTCCGTTACGGTTTAAAATATTAGTTTCCACAAAAAACGCATTTCGACAAAAGTGTCGCTTACGATAATTTGGCGGTAACGGCTCGATATTAGCAATATTTCTTTTTGGCGTTCACATGTACGTCGTTTGCATGTCAAGTTGTGACTAAAGCGATTAGGGTCGTGGACCACAATTCATGCGGATCACTTTTGTGAGGCTAGTGCCGTATCTACCCTTTTTGTTTTAATCTAAGGCATTAACCCGTGAAAAAGTATAAAAATAAAAATTATATAATACTAATATTAATTTAACGCAAACGTAAAAAGAGTTAATAATTTGAGCTACAGATGATTACATAGCATACGTCACATAGTAGACGTCATCGAATCGAGCGTTTTGGTGGGAAATTCAAAACCATTAAAAATAAATTCAATTTTAATTGTTCTAGCGGAGAAAAAAAAGACATTTATTTATCCCAATCTTTAAATATAATCTTTAAATTTAATAAAATTTAGAAAATACCCCATTGCTGTGTGTTATAAATAGTTATCGATTAATACATATTTATGGGTGATACAGCAACAAAGCGGCGTGGGCGTGTCGGGGGGCCAGCGCTTCAACGTGAACGTGCCCCACCGGTTCGTGGTGCACTCCTACAAGCGGTTCACGTTCTGCGACCACTGTGGGTCACTGCTGTACGGACTCATCAAGCAGGGGCTGCAGTGTGAAGGTAAAGCACTGGACGGATCGGGCTGAAATTTGGCATGCAGGTAGATGTTATGACGTAGGCATCCGCTAAGAAAGGATTTTGATCAATTCTACCCCCAAGGGGATAAAATACCGAAGCGATGCAAGGGCGGGCCACTAGTCCTTATATAGTTGTTTATTTTAGGCGAAATTTGTCCTCCAAATTACACAAATTTCGCCTCTAAAACATTTTGTAATAATTATTTAAATTTCACATTCCTATAAATAATAACAATATATTTCATCAGTGCTATAAAAACCTGTGCAGGTTTTACCGACCACTGAGCTTCGTCATCTTTTAGATCATTTTTCATAATACCCTTGCGTAGTATGTTCACTTTGTATCTGCATCTACCCTCTTTCTACGAGTTGTCGGCCTATATATAATACTTTAGTTACACCAATACGAACAAAATCTTGGCCGAAACCTGTCCAAAAGGTACATTGAACGATCCACGGAGCTCCGTAATGATGAATGAGGATAGCGTAGTCAAAATCAATATAAGGCATTATTTAAATATTGAAAGTAACCTTTAATACATACTGTATAAGGTCTTAAATAAAATGCATGCGTCAGGGACTTCTGACAGTTCGAAATGCAAGCTCGTAAAAGTTTACGACTTATTGCTATATGCGGAAGAATTAGACCTTAGTTCTTTGACTCTACGCGCAAATCTGAACGCGCTGTTAGCTATATAACAGGCACGGACCGCGAGGAAAAAAGACGGCTATATTGCTACGTTTAACCGACCATGCATTTGAATATCACAAATATTTTATATCAAATCAGTTTATAGTATTAGATCAAAATTTACTTCAAAAATTAACAAACATTGACTAGATACCGACACTTTTCATACTCTAAGTATTATTTTCACATTTTTCGCGGATCTCTGTGGCATCTTGTCTTTGTAGCGGTCCGCGCGTTACTGAACCAAGAAGTGCTTGAGCTCCACTCAAGCACTTCTTGATTGGGACACATTTTGAGCGCTCGTGGTGTATCTAGGGTATTTAATATCATTGGATATCAGAGTAAGTATGAAACTTATGCGCTGTGACTTATACCGATTTCTCAGTATATATATATATATATATGTCAATCGTCGGTCCTTCGAGCCGGACTGTTAAAACGATATTGCGTTTGCTATGATACAGTATGTTCGATGAACGTGCACAAGCGATGCCAGAAGAACGTGGCGAACAACTGCGGCATCAACACCAAGCAGATGGCCGAGATACTCAACGAGATGGGCATCTCGCCCGACAAGAACCCGCGCCCGCAGCGGTCTAAGGTAACTCACCCCTCCCCTCTACAAATTCATTGCATCGATATGTGACAACCTATCTGGTTTCGATTTAGACTTGTTTACGATTTCTTTTTTTTTCAATATAAAAACGCCATTTTTTTTTTTCATATTTTTTTTATTCGATTATTTACAATATGTCTTTTTAATTATGTTATTTTAATCAAATTTCAACATGTTAAGTGATATACTGTCCGTGCTCGAGGCTGCTATTTGATACAGCCAAGGGCACGGGCGGAAGTCTGAAAGAGGAAGCATAGAAGGACAGTAAAGATAAAAGTAGGTATACGAGAAAATAGGGAGGTGAAAAACAAAGTAAAGAATAAAAAAAAAAACGCCATTAATTATTGTTACAATTTAAAATTTTAAAGCATGTAACTGCTTGATGTTTAAATCTAAATGCCTTGCAGCTTAAGAATGGCTAGAGGAATTTCGACGCGGTCCGTGAGGGCCGCGGTAGCATAATTGGTCAGTGCATTCGCCCGGATTGCGAAGGGTGCGGGTTCGAGTCCCGTCTGCTGCCTGGTCCGCGTGGAATTTTTTCTAGTTATATTTTCATTAGATTTAGCCATTAATTATTGTTTCCCAAACCTTTAAATTAGTGTTTTATAACTTTTAAACTACACTGCAAGTAAAATAGATATTACAAACTTATCATATTTTATAATAAAAAAAATCCACACGGACCAGGCGCCATCCCATTGCAATGTCATACAATCGTTTTTTTTGTATTCAAAATAGTAAAATTAGTAAATATTTTTGTTGAAAGAAATTCGCAAATAATAAATAAGAAACTGTTCAACTGTAAACTGTATTTTAGTCAATAAAAAACAAAATATAAAATAACATATCATTTAACTGCGATATTCCATTCAATTACAATTTATTTGTATGGTTTACCAATAATTGTAAAACACTCTAGCTATTAATGAGTAGTGTAGTGTGGTATGGTACTGAGTGTTTTCGATTTCAGTACCAGAACACTCAACTGCTGGAGGGCGGTACTGAGCTGGCGCCCAACGACCCCGACACCAAGGACAACGACAAGCACGACGAGAAAGGTAACCACACTACACTACACTACACTTCAACACATAAACATACACTACACTCGCACAAAATACTTTCAAAAATAAAACTCTTGAGGTCGGCCTCTTATTTAGAGTAGACTATGTTGCCTAGATATTTTATTATAAATAAATATTTTTTCTGTATGATATTATAATATATTTTTTTTTGTGTGCGATATAATGTTACATAATATGTTTCCTGCTAATCAAAATAGTTGAAATAAAAAATAATGTTTGATTCAGTTTTAATTAAATTTGAATTTTTCGTGACAACATAATATTATATTTCTATGAAAGGACAATGGGCAAAACACACCCAGCTCCGCCAGCAATGTAATTAGCATGAATCGATAGATCTATGAAAAAGTAGCCTTTTTATTATGACACCGTAAAAAATATCTTGGGAGTCAAAAGATATGACACCTTAAAAAATATCCTGGGAGTCAAAAGATATGACACCTTAAAAAATATCCTGGTAGTCAAAAGATATGACACATGGGCATATTTAAGTAGCTAAATAAATTCACTTTATAGTACCTTTATTTCACATTATTAGTAGCCATAATAATATGCCATATCGTACTATAAATCCAGATATACGACATCGCCTGCCGACCATCCTGACAACTAAAGACTCCCGGGATGGAATTTGATGCGCTTTGGCACAGATGATCTTGACTATAATACCTTTCAAACAAATGTAGTTTAAGCCGTGGCGGACGTAGGTGCAGCGTCCATACATTTTTGCCCAAAGTCCTTTATGAGTTATGTTGTTCAAAATAAATGATTTTTATTAATTATGATTTATAGTCTAATAACAACTGTTGCCAAGAAACTTGAGGTTGATTCATGAAACTGGCCATTAGTTAAAGGCACATACAGAGTACACTCACACAAAATATACTCGCATAAATTGCACTACATTTTGAAACGTAGAATGCAGTGAAGATGCTTTCTATAAGACGTAGGTGTACGTCTTATAGAAAGCATCCAAATATCATTATAGGGTATTTGACAGTATTAAAAATAAAGTGCCAATTGTTAGCATCTGTGTTTAGAATGAATATTGGCAGGGAATTTTACTATTTTTACAAAAAAATATTCATAAATTTACTAAAAAGTCACGAAATAGATAATAGAATATATAAAATACGCTTGGGATTGGCGGAGCCTAAAATGACGTCACACGCAAGTAAACTTCCGGTTAAAGTGACATTACATTGATTTGTTTGACGTTTTAATAACAGTCGTGTGACATCACACACTAGTAAGACGCCATATTGTCCAGAGAAACGTTTTCGCGGCAACTTGAAAATGGGAGTTTTTGATTTGGTTATTTTTACTGAAATACACAACAGAATGATGAATATCCACTTTTTACGGACTCCATAAATATTAGTCAATAACGTGAGATCGTTTTCTAAACCTTGTCAAATACCCTATTCTGTCTGTTGTTTTGTGTTCTTGCAATCAATAAGGCTCATTGTGTGTCTGCAATCATCAAATTTTGTTAGTTCTGAATCCACATGATATATCATGTGGAACCGCTGGCAACATTAACAGATATTCTAAGAATATTTCAAAACAAAGCAATACCGTTCTATTTGTAATAAGTTTGCATATAAAAAGTGACATCTCAGTATTATGACTCGACCGATATTGGCCAATATGATTTTATTGCAGTGCGAAGTTTGGTCTTCATAAATAATTTGACGGCATTCTGTATGAAAGAGTTCTCTAATAAATATTGCTTATTTATGAGTAGATTCACATAATTTGGATTGCTGTTGATAAATAATTCATATTTAGTTATACTTGTTTCTTATATTTACACGCACACCACAAATTAAATAAAACACAGATTTTGTTTAAGATGAGATTTTAAATACTTGTATAAATATCTCTACATTTCGGATCCCTTAGAGGCTCCGTTCTCAAGACAACAATCATATTCTTGAGATAGAGATATGTACAGGGTGTTGCAAAAATACAAATAAATCTGCAAACATTTTAAGAAAATTAGAGAAGACTCCTTATATTATGTATTTCAACGCCCTTCAAGCTTTATTTGTATTTTTGTAACACCCTGTATAAAAATATTCTTATTTGGTTTATCTACACCCATGATTTGAAACCACTCTTAAAGATTCTGAAACAGTTAGCTTATTGACAGCATTTAAACATCCAATGTCATTTTAAAAAAGTAACACCCGTTTCATTTAAGTTGTAAGTAGTTTGTAACATTTGTTAAATTTGACTATCTTTGATTCAGTCATTGTGACGACAAATACATAGTTTTTTTTAATAAAAACACCAATTAGCCTATTCCCAAAGTAAGCACTGTAGGCTTATGTTATGGGTTACTAGGGTAACGGATATAATACATATACTGATACATATCTAAGTATATTTATATAGATATACATATTTGACATCCATGACTGGACTACAAATACGTATTCATCACACAAACATCTGCCCCCACTGGGATTCGAACCCGAGACTTCTCGAGTAGGCGACACCATTAAACCCGGCGTACAAACCCATAGAGGTATAAGAATAGAGTGGGGAAGGCGGCTCTAAAAGTGTCCGTCTAGTAGAAAGAGAAAGAAGATGAGCACCGCTAGCTATTCTTTTGACGCATGGCATCCAATGGCATCACATCGAAATAGTAAGATGCTTACGGTTGCCAATGCGCCTGCGCGTTTAGAGAGAGAAAGCTAGCGGTCTCTCATCTTCTTTCTCTTTCTATTAGAGGGACACTTCCACTGCAGTAGAGTCTATATCTCCCCTACTCTATTCTTATACCTCTATGTACAAACCACTCAACATCGGAGGTCGTCAAAATTACACTCTTTCGCTTTTTAAATCCATTCTGCGGCAAAGGCTTGCTCACCAGACAGCCACTGTTTTCACTGCTACTGCTGCTTCGTGGTATATGCGTGGTTATTTTCATAAACGAACATTATTATTCACACGCGCTTCACTACCACAGCGCAGAAACTTATCACGACTTTTAAATTCTTACAACGCCTCATACTTACAGAATCTTTTATAGGGCATTCATATCATCAGGTGTAGATAAACGGTGTATTCCGAAATATAAACCAATACGTTGGCCAGCGGTAATGACGTCATGATTTCAACGCCATATTGCACTGGTGTAGTACTAGTTTTGTCAATATGGCGTCGAAATCATGACGTCATTACCGCTGGCCAGCGTACTGGTGTATATTTCGGAATACACGCAGTCACGTTTTAAAATACGATTGTGGGTTTGTTCACGTGACGTATTGTTACCGTTGTGTTGTCCGCGTCCAGACTCGGGCTACAGCGGCGATGGGCGCTCGCATTGGGACGAGCTCGCGGAGATATTCGCCGCTCCAGATTTTTACGTATACAGTACGATATTATTCGATAATAACTGGCTGGTACTGGGTCTTACGGGTAGCGGATATGGGTCGGATTATCCGATAGCTAGCTGACTGGTACTGGGTCTTACGGGTCGCGGATAGGTGCCGGATTATCCGATATCTAACTGGCTGGTACTGGGCCTTACGGGTCGCGGATATGGGTCGGATTATCCGATAGCTAACTGGCTGGTACTGGGTCTTATGGGTCGCGGATATGGGTCGGATTATCCGATAGCTAACTGGCTGGTACTGGGTCTTATGGGTCGCGGATATGGGTCGGATTATCCGATAGCTAACTGGCTGGTACTGGGTCTTATGGGTCGCGGATATGGGTCGGATTATCCGATTGCTAACTGGCTGGTACTGGGTCTTACGGGTCGCGGATATGAGTCGGATTATCCGATAGATAGCTGGCTGGTACTGGGTCTGACGGGTCGCGGATATGGGTCGGATTATCCGATAGCTAACTGGTTAGTACTCGGTCTTACGGGTCGCGGATATGGGTCGGGTTATCCGATAGCTAACTGGCTGGTACTGGGTCTTACGGGTAGCAGATATGAGTCGGATTATCCGATAGATAGCTGGCTGCTTCTGAGTCTAACGGTTTGCTTACAGGTGCCCGATGGGTAGATCTATACTATGTTTCTTGATACTTGTCCTTATTATCGGTAAACAATTCTCACATTTTCTGTTCCTACTCCTTGACGAAATTGTTATTTAAAACGTACGTAAATTTTAACAAGTTTTTGCAAATTATAATGTTGACCACTAAAGGACTTGATAAAAAGAAAGGGATTGTATCATTCTATTATGTTTTTTTTTAATAAAACAGCTATATTTGACATTTAATTTAACAGATGTGATAATTGATTACTAAATAAGACTGGAAAAAACGTGTAGGAGAGGTGTTGGCATAACGCGATAAGATGATATTGGTGTCGATTCTGGCATGGTTTTGTAAACCTAAACTTAAATTTGACAACAGTGTATCCTTGTTATTCTCTATACAGAATGAAAAGAAGAGTTTCAAGTTTAGAGAATCATGTCAGAATTGACACCATTAGCATTTACCTACCGCTTTGGGATTATCGAAATTTGCTTTTTTGTATAAGATCAGCTCAACCTATCACATTTTTGCATTGAATTTAGGTAAAGTTATTTGTTTTTCTTTTGGAGCGTTTACAATTTGAGTGAACACTATTTATATAAGGTAGGAAGTGTCATAAATATATTTTTGGTACAGGTGTCTTTACACTTAAAAAAAAAGAGCCTACTTTATTTATGTAACCAGATGTATGGTAAAGAAATATTTTTTTTTTCATTTTCATCTTTAATTTTGCTTCCTAATCTGTTGATAGATTAAGCTGATTCATTATGCCGGCACTTCACTTGGTTTATCATATTTTCTATATGTAAACGCAACATCAGCTTGTCGTTTTCATTACTTGTAGATTAGGATAAGGACAGACTGGTGTCTAGTTTACAAATGGCAAACACGAATAGCCAAGTGAAGCGCCGGCATTATTTGTTAATTATGTTATTGTTGGTGTCGGTTGGTGACTTGCTGATAAGGCTGGCGTAATAGGTTTTTGGTGTTAACTAACGGGGTAAATAGAAAGTCGCTTGGGTTAAGTACTGGTAATAGAAGATTGGGGGTGTATTCCGAAATATACATCAGTATACTGGTCAGTGGTGATGACGTCACGAATCCGACGCCATATTGTACTGGTATGCTACCATATTTTTACCGGGAAAACGAATATGACGTATGACCGTGCGTGAGATGCATTCGAATTTTATTTCTTTTTTATTTAAAGCAAATAAAGGTATCCGAACAAAGAGAATTCCTTTTAATTAATATTTCGTCGATTTATGACGTCATTAGCACTGGCCAGTATACTAGTATATATTACGGAGTACACCCTGGGTTTCGACTGGTAATACAAGCGATAAATATTGGTAACAGATGGTAGAAGTACAGGTAATAATACGAAGTAAAAGTACTGGTAACATAATTACAATTAGAAATATATGTAGGGTTGTTGGGAACTTGAGGGCTTATTGATTGTTTTTAACTACATTTCTCTATTTAAATTTTATGTTTCCGACTATATTATGTGTCGTATGCATTCTATATTGATTACCTACAGTTTGTCAGTATAAAAAATATAATTTTAATTTAATGACCAACTTTTTTTGAAAGATCAGAAATCCACAAAATTCTTTTTAATTTATTAACATATTTAGTTTATGTTTTGTAATAAAAAATAAAATTAAAACCTATAAAGTTTTTCAATTTTTCAGAAAAAAATATGTAAAATATTTAACGTTAAAATGTGTTAAAATAAAATAATCATTTCCGATTTTAATTCTGGTAAAAGTTGGAAATTTCCTAACCTGTATTCAGTAGGTCACCCGTTCAAAAAATTTTAATTTTAACCAAACGCCTATATGTTTAACGAGTGCGGTCAATATTTAGGTTTAGAGAGTTGCGGGGGCGCAGACAAGGTGGCCTTGGAAGATTTCCACTTTATCAAAGTGCTGGGTAAAGGCTCCTTCGGGAAGGTGATGCTCGCAGAAAAGAAGGGCACGGACGAGGTATGTACTCTAATTACCGGTTAATTTTGGCATTTTAACAGGCCTTGTTTACCGGTTAATTTTCAAACCTAAATCAGTGTCAAGTACATTAGGAGCGTTTTATTTAGGTTTGGCTCTACCTTAACCTTAAAAAAAAACCGGTTTTCCTAATCAGCGAAATCAAATAGGTTTGAATCAATTTAGCGGTTTTTAAAGGGTTTCATTTCGATCTTAGTGACGGCTGAAATAAATGCACAACTACAAAATGAATAACTTGACTCACTAGACGCTAGCAAACGTGTCAATAAATGCATCAATCTATGAGCATTAACAAGTTGTGACTTGATTAGTTCAAACAAAACAAACTTCAAGCGATGCCGACGCGTGCACGTGTCGCTCTGGATTAAACCGGTTTATTAAGGTTTTAGGTACCGCTTTCATTTCCTACGCACTCCGTACGAAACCTTTACTAAAAACCGGTATTAACCTTTATTTACCGGTATTTTTGAAACCGGTTTGAAGCCCTGCTCTGATCTAATATAATGTGCAATATCTTTATGTATTCTGTTACTATAATATCAAATTCCTGTTTGTTTCGGAAGGCATGTTAAGCCGTTGCATTTCAAGACATTTATGATAAAATCATGATCTTTATTGCTTCACGTTGGTACAAGGGTTCTTAAAATTAAAATAAGGACTCGCAGCATGAGCCCTGCAAGGGAATTCCAAAATTTTTCCTAATCTCTAACAAACATAATCACAAACATCGTCTACTTTTGTGAAACATTTTATCTATAGTATATCATTTTTTTGTATGATATTTATATACTTTAGCAGCACGATTCATTTTTGTAATACAAGTGGATAATTATAGTCCAGTCAGTATTGTCGCGAAATCCGTTTTTCCTCAAACAGCTGGAACTATGCTAAAAAGTTTCTTAAGATAGTAAAGAACACTTTACATAGAGAAAAAAATGTTTCCAACCCCGGGCAAGGGTGAAAACCACCCTTAATAATCTATTTTTCCAATTATCTCAAAAAGTATACGAGATACGGAAAAAAACTTCAAATGAAAATTGTAGATCTTTTTGAAATCTACAAAACATTATTCCACCCTCTTGCCCCTATTTTCAATAGGGGAGCCAATAATCGAAGTCAAAGATTCAATACTTAAAAAGTTAAAGTTAGTTAAAAAAGTTATCTAAAGTTATCTAAGTTATCTTAATGTAAAGATTATTACATTACATTACATTAAGATAACTTAGATAACTTTAGATAACTTTTTTAACTAACTTTAACTTTTTAAGTATTGAATCTTTGACTTCGATTATTGGCTCCCCTATTGAAAATAGGGGCAAGAGGGTGGAATAATGTTTTGTAGATTTCAAAAAGATCTACAATTTTCATTTGAAGTTTTTTTCCGTATCTCGTATACTTTTTGAGATAATTGGAAAAATAGATTATTAAGGGTGGTTTTCACCCTTGCCCGGGGTTGGAAACATTTTTTTCTCTATGTAAAGTGTTCTTTACTATCTTAAGAAACTTTTTAGCATAGTTCCAGCTGTTTGAGGAAAAACGGATTTCGCGACAATACTGACTGGACTATTATGTTTATATATTATTTCATTTCAAACTCCTTATTCACCACCATAAAAGCCTTCCCTCGGCAGCGGATACATCAATACTGCTATCGTCACCGTTTGGGTTATGAATTTACCTATCCATCACTATAGGACCTTTTTTTTGTGTCTGGAAAATGCCTTACGCATCCTTCAACCACTGGGGGAGCGAGAAGGTATGTGGGACTCCTCCCTGTCCTCTCCAGCCAGCCCTGGAGCTCGCTGATGTGAAGAGGGCCCTACCTACGCCCTGAACAGGGCCACTAAAAACCAGACAATACTCCTGCACCGGCACCCGACACGCACTATGAGGACCGCGGTCCCCCTAGGGGCCGTCCATAAATTACGTCATCGATTTTTGACCCCCCCCCCCCTACAATCATCCTATCATCATTTCTTAATGACCCCCCCCCCCCTTCTCCCAAAATTGACGTCATTACCAGTTTGACAAAATTAAAACATTGCAGATTTGAGAAAAGCTAGTATTATATGTAATATTATTGTTAGAGTATTTTATCTGTAGTTATTACTGTATTTGTGTACATCTATGTTGCATTATGTATGTTTATTATGAGTTATTTCAGTATTGTACGCGCCTTAGCCGCCTCTCACACACATTTGCAGTCTCACTTACTAGGCGTGCTGGAAGAAATTTCTTTTTAGAAATAATCTTTTTGTATGTGAACAATAAACTGTAAATAAATAAATAAGAATGACGTCAATTTCGAAACACCCCCCCTCCCCATCTATCATTTACCGTCATCCGCAGACCCCCCCCCCCCTAATTTAGAATGACGTAATATATGGACGGCCCCCTAGTGCATGCCGAGAGGGCGGATGTGGTCGCGGAACCCGTCTCCGAATGGCCGCGCAATCTCTATAGGAGCTATCCTTCCACTTTCCTTCAGCATTTGAGACATTAACACGAGCCTGTCGATCCAGGTTTACGCGGTAAAAGTGCTGAAGAAAGACGCCATAGTTCAGGACGACGACGTAGAATGCACTCTGACGGAGCGTCGCGTGTTGGCGCTGGCCGCGAGACACCCCTTCCTCACTGCGCTGCACTCCGCCTTCCAGACCAGGGACCGGCTCTTCTTCGTGATGGAATACGTGCATGGCGGGGACCTCATGTTCCAGATACAACGCGCGCGCAAGTTCGACGAGCCCCGGGCTAGGTGAGATGTATACTGTACTATGTATATCACACTATACTCCGCCTCCAGACCAGGGACCGGCTCTTCTTCGTGATGGAATACGTGCATGGCGGGGACCTCATGTTCCAGATACAACGCGCGCGCAAGTTCGACGAGCCCCGGGCTAGGTGAGATGTATACTGTACTATGTATATCACACTATACTCCGCCTCCAGACCAGGGACCGGCTCTTCTTCGTGATGGAATACGTGCATGGCGGGGACCTCATGTTCCAGATACAACGCGCGCGCAAGTTCGACGAGCCCCGGGCTAGGTGAGATGTATACTGTACTATGTATATCACACTATACTCCGCCTCCAGACCAGGGACCGGCTCTTCTTCGTGATGGAATACGTGCATGGCGGGGACCTCATGTTCCAGATACAACGCGCGCGCAAGTTCGACGAGCCCCGGGCTAGGTGAGATGTATACTGTACTATGTATATCACACTATACTCCGCCTCCAGACCAGGGACCGGCTCTTCTTCGTGATGGAATACGTGCATGGCGGGGACCTCATGTTCCAGATACAACGCGCGCGCAAGTTCGACGAGCCCCGGGCTAGGTGAGATGTATACTGTACTATGTATATCACACTATACTCCGCCTCCAGACCAGGGACCGGCTCTTCTTCGTGATGGAATACGTGCATGGCGGGGACCTCATGTTCCAGATACAACGCGCGCGCAAGTTCGACGAGCCCCGGGCTAGGTGAGATGTATACTGTACTATGTATATCACACTATACTCCGCCTCCAGACCAGGGACCGGCTCTTCTTCGTGATGGAATACGTGCATGGCGGGGACCTCATGTTCCAGATACAACGCGCGCGCAAGTTCGACGAGCCCCGGGCTAGGTGAGATGTATACTGTACTATGTATATCACACTATACTCCGCCTCCAGACCAGGGACCGGCTCTTCTTCGTGATGGAATACGTGCATGGCGGGGACCTCATGTTCCAGATACAACGCGCGCGCAAGTTCGACGAGCCCCGGGCTAGGTGAGATGTATACTGTACTATGTATATCACACTATACTCCGCCTCCAGACCAGGGACCGGCTCTTCTTCGTGATGGAATACGTGCATGGCGGGGACCTCATGTTCCAGATACAACGCGCGCGCAAGTTCGACGAGCCCCGGGCTAGGTGAGATGTATACTGTACTATGTATATCACACTATACTCCGCCTCCAGACCAGGGACCGGCTCTTCTTCGTGATGGAATACGTGCATGGCGGGGACCTCATGTTCCAGATACAACGCGCGCGCAAGTTCGACGAGCCCCGGGCTAGGTGAGATGTATACTGTACTATGTATATCACACTATACTCCGCCTCCAGACCAGGGACCGGCTCTTCTTCGTGATGGAATACGTGCATGGCGGGGACCTCATGTTCCAGATACAACGCGCGCGCAAGTTCGACGAGCCCCGGGCTAGGTGAGATGTATACTGTACTATGTATATCACACTATACTCCGCCTCCAGACCAGGGACCGGCTCTTCTTCGTGATGGAATACGTGCATGGCGGGGACCTCATGTTCCAGATACAACGCGCGCGCAAGTTCGACGAGCCCCGGGCTAGGTGAGATGTATACTGTACTATGTATATCACACTATACTCCGCCTCCAGACCAGGGACCGGCTCTTCTTCGTGATGGAATACGTGCATGGCGGGGACCTCATGTTCCAGATACAACGCGCGCGCAAGTTCGACGAGCCCCGGGCTAGGTGAGATGTATACTGTACTATGTATATCACACTATACTCCGCCTCCAGACCAGGGACCGGCTCTTCTTCGTGATGGAATACGTGCATGGCGGGGACCTCATGTTCCAGATACAACGCGCGCGCAAGTTCGACGAGCCCCGGGCTAGGTGAGATGTATACTGTACTATGTATATCACACTATACTCCGCCTCCAGACCAGGGACCGGCTCTTCTTCGTGATGGAATACGTGCATGGCGGGGACCTCATGTTCCAGATACAACGCGCGCGCAAGTTCGACGAGCCCCGGGCTAGGTGAGATGTATACTGTACTATGTATATCACACTATACTCCGCCTCCAGACCAGGGACCGGCTCTTCTTCGTGATGGAATACGTGCATGGCGGGGACCTCATGTTCCAGATACAACGCGCGCGCAAGTTCGACGAGCCCCGGGCTAGGTGAGATGTATACTGTACTATGTATATCACACTATACTCCGCCTCCAGACCAGGGACCGGCTCTTCTTCGTGATGGAATACGTGCATGGCGGGGACCTCATGTTCCAGATACAACGCGCGCGCAAGTTCGACGAGCCCCGGGCTAGGTGAGATGTATACTGTACTATGTATATCACACTATACTCCGCCTCCAGACCAGGGACCGGCTCTTCTTCGTGATGGAATACGTGCATGGCGGGGACCTCATGTTCCAGATACAACGCGCGCGCAAGTTCGACGAGCCCCGGGCTAGGTGAGATGTATACTGTACTATGTATATCACACTATACTCCGCCTCCAGACCAGGGACCGGCTCTTCTTCGTGATGGAATACGTGCATGGCGGGGACCTCATGTTCCAGATACAACGCGCGCGCAAGTTCGACGAGCCCCGGGCTAGGTGAGATGTATACTGTACTATGTATATCACACTATACTCCGCCTCCAGACCAGGGACCGGCTCTTCTTCGTGATGGAATACGTGCATGGCGGGGACCTCATGTTCCAGATACAACGCGCGCGCAAGTTCGACGAGCCCCGGGCTAGGTGAGATGTATACTGTACTATGTATATCACACTATACTCCGCCTCCAGACCAGGGACCGGCTCTTCTTCGTGATGGAATACGTGCATGGCGGGGACCTCATGTTCCAGATACAACGCGCGCGCAAGTTCGACGAGCCCCGGGCTAGGTGAGATGTATACTGTACTATGTATATCACACTATACTCCGCCTCCAGACCAGGGACCGGCTCTTCTTCGTGATGGAATACGTGCATGGCGGGGACCTCATGTTCCAGATACAACGCGCGCGCAAGTTCGACGAGCCCCGGGCTAGGTGAGATGTATACTGTACTATGTATATCACACTATACTCCGCCTCCAGACCAGGGACCGGCTCTTCTTCGTGATGGAATACGTGCATGGCGGGGACCTCATGTTCCAGATACAACGCGCGCGCAAGTTCGACGAGCCCCGGGCTAGGTGAGATGTATACTGTACTATGTATATCACACTATACTCCGCCTCCAGACCAGGGACCGGCTCTTCTTCGTGATGGAATACGTGCATGGCGGGGACCTCATGTTCCAGATACAACGCGCGCGCAAGTTCGACGAGCCCGGGCTAGGTGAGATGTATACTGTACTATGTATATCACACTATACTCCGCCTCCAGACCAGGGACCGGCTCTTCTTCGTGATGGAATACGTGCATGGCGGGGACCTCATGTTCCAGATACAACGCGCGCGCAAGTTCGACGAGCCCCGGGCTAGGTGAGAATATATTCTGTAATATGGTGTCGATTCTTGCATGGTCCTCTAAATCTAAACTTAATTTGGCATCAGTGTATCCTTGTCATACTCTATACAAAATGAAAAGGAGAGACAGATCTTAAATTTAGTTTCAAGTTTAGAGTATCATGCCAGAATGGACACCAGTGTGTAACTAAAGAGAAAATTGCATATCCATCGAAGCTTTTCAAAACAATTATGATAATGCAGTAGTGGATCACTAAATTGCTCGGTGATTATCACTTCCATCAGTCAAAAGCAGTTAGCAAACTATCGCCACATTGGTCAGTGTATATTTGAACTATCGCCACATTGGTCAGTGTATATTTGAAGTATCGCGACATTGGTCAGTGTATATTTGAAGTATCGCGACATTGGTCAGTGTATATTTGAAGTATCGCGACATTGGTCAGTGTATATTTGAAGTATCGCGACATTGGTCAGTGTATATATGAAGTAAGTTAGACCGAGAGAAAAGTGGGTTAATGAAATAATAAGAAAGGCTAGTGAAAATTGGACTACAAAAGCAAAGGACAGACAGACATGGAGCAAAATGGAGGAGGCCTTTACTCGTTTAGGGGTCCATAATGACATGCATTGATAATTACTTTGACATTCAATTATCATTTGGAATTTGAATTTTATTATTATTATTATTACTTGACAATTGTATGAAATGAAAATTTTAAAATGCTAATTGTAATCAAATTTATGGTATTAATTGTTGTGTAATTTTATTATTTCATGCATGTACTTATGAATAATTCTATGATATTTATTACTTGTACATTATGGAAATAAAGAGGCTATATTATTATTATTATATATGAAGTATCGCGACTTTGGTCAGTGTATATTTGAAGTATCGCGACATTGGTCAGTGTACTCGTATATTTGAAGTATCGCGACATTGGTCAGGTTCTACGCGGCGGAGGTGACGCTGGCGCTGCAGTTCCTCCACTCGCACGGGGTCATCTACCGCGACCTCAAGCTCGACAACATTCTGTTGGACAGCGAGGGGCATTGCAAACTGGCCGACTTCGGGATGTGCAAGGAGGGAATACTGGGTGAGATTATTACCTATATAACATATTTTTGATGTGTAACATCTTTCCTCTCACTTTCCTGCGATTTGTGGGAGTGATTTCGTGAAATGGGACAGAAGTGTGTAACAGGAAGTGTTTTTTATAGTATTATCGATTTTAAAGCAATATACAGGTTTCGTAAAGAACATTTAGTTTATTAAAGAAACGAGAAGCCAGAACAAATGCAAAAGATAAATAAATATTCAGTGCCACATATTGTCATTGTTTATGTCTTTCATAAACACATCATACCTCCATATTAATAAACAAGCAAAAAGCTGAGACAAGTTATGTCGTGTTTTGTTCGTTTCACTCAAATGGCATTTGTCATTCAATAAACCGAGATAAAACATGGAGTAACTAATCCAAGCGTAGTCTTCGTTAATTAATAAGGGGGATAGACTTTTGCCAACTTGGTCCATGTTACTTTTATTTTAATGTTAGTAGCACTTTTTTTTGTAGAACATAAAAATTCACTTGTAGTATGATTTGCAATATACTGTACAATCCGTTTATTATGTCTTCGAAGGGAATCGACAAACACGTCATAATAAGCGGACGTCATACAAAGCATTTTTGTGAAAAAAGATTGTGAGATGAGTATGATACCCCATTTTCTAATCAGCATATTATTGCACCTTTTTCCTCAGTCGTAAATGCTTTACGATGTTGAGATAACATTTTATTACATAGGACATCACTAAAAACAATGCTTGATGTTCAATTTGAATCAACGAACATTACCTTAGGTGTAGAGTACCATGTCGGTCACTATAAACGCACAAAATTGATTAAAAATGGGTCATAATAAGCGACATGTCACTGTAAGCGAAGTCATTATATCCGACATTGTTACAATGAATTTTATATGAAAACCAAACTTCAACGTGTAATTACGTCATGGTCAATATAGGCGGAGTCATATCATAATAAACGGATTCTACTGTAGATTATTTTTTGAGTTTTTAAAGGAAAAGTAATGGTAATGTCCGATGATGACAAAAGCGCTTGGAGGGGGGCTGCTAAGTAACTGTTGGTTACGGTGCAGAGTTGCCCTGTGATCCTAAGATTATGAGAGCTTAGGACATTACAGTTTGTACTGTGAAAGAGATTTCAACAGTTAACAAACTTATTACTTAGACGGTAAGGTTAATTTTTAGTTAATTCATTGGAATTCCATTGTAATTGTTCATAGATGGCGCCACCACAACAACGTTCTGCGGCACCCCGGACTATATTGCACCAGAGGTAAGCGAGTTATATATTGCTAACAAATTTCACTTTAAGATATTTTATGAAATAAAATGGAGGATATTTTAGTGCTAACAAAATAAAATAATAGATGCTATGTAAACATTTTGGACAAATATAAACAAACATTGTGTTTTTTGTCTTCATTCACTTGTTAACATTTTGTGTATTTATTAAGTAAAATAAAAAAGAACTTGGAATTGTACCTTGTGGTACTCCTGGTGTGAGAAAATGATGGGAGGGATAGGGAAAGCAGAAAAGGGAGCAACAGAGTGGCAGCCATTCACTACCAACTTGTCCATTTATCTTGCAGAAGGTTATACATTAATTTATGATTAAGATTTTCATGGTCGACTTTGTCAAAAGCTTTATTTAATTGTAAAAGTTTGTATATACAAAATACAAATTCCAATTGAATTCAAATTTAAATGCTTTATTGTGAAATGTAGGTTAGTACAGCAAAGTGGTGTTAGGTACAAAGTTTATATAGTGTCACTACATTTCGACCTTATTACAAGGCATACAATACTTTTATGGAATAATCAGGGTTACAATTATAGAAAAATCAAAATTATTATATTACAATTACAATCAACAAGTCATAGTTAGAAATAAATGTCAAAATATGTTTATGTCAAAATTACTAAGCAATATTTATATGTCAAACTAAAATAAATATAATAATAAATTGTGCTGTAATAGGCTTAAATGTAAGATAATTAAGTAATCATGTCCATTTCTTTCAAGGAAGTGTCACTGAGGAACTTGATTGAGTTGTTTTAAATGAAATGAAAATAAACTTTATTCAAGTTTAGTTGATTAATTAAAAGCCTTTGAATCATCTTTATATTTTTTTGAAGTAAAAACTGCTTTAGCGGCGTTGTACACTTTTTTTTGTTTGGGTAAAAAATGTTAAACTCGCGTCAGGTTAAACACGTAGGCTGATCGCATCATGACACAATAAAATTGGAAAGGTTGTTGACTTTTAATTTCAATATATTAGACGAAACATAGTAATATTTTATTTTACCGTATTATAATAATAAGACTCTATCTAGAACGTCCACGTGGCAGCTTTATTGCGAAGAAAATGTATTTTTTTACAATAGATGTCGCTAGGTGCGCTTAAATGTGATTCATGTCAGTTGATTTCTTTACAATAGATGTCGCTAAGTGTGCTTAAACGTGATTCATGTAAGTTGCTTTTTCTGAGTGGTAAACTTTTTAATGTAATATGAATTGTCATGTTTGTGTACGATACCGCAATAAATAAATATTGTATTCTACCACATACATGATAGTACTTTTATACTGATAATTAAAGCAATTCGTGCAAAATTATTCCCTAACCATCCCAAAATATCAAAAATGCACAACGTTAATATTCAAGTTTTCACTTCTGCCAGCACACCTAGAGTGCAACCGTCGTTTTTTTCCCTACCACCTGTTTGGGCCATGTTTTAGCTGAGAAGAACAGGTGAAAAAAAATTCTCAGCATTTTTATGAAGTAACGATATTTACATAAAAAATATGTCGTTACCAATACAAATATTATAATCACATTTTTTAAGACCTTCTATATTGACTTAACTTTTAACATTTTGTATTGCTTCTCGTTGGTCGTACTCTACAGTATGATGGTATATGTGTTGTGCAGATCCTACAAGAACTGGAATACGGTGCTTCGGTAGACTGGTGGGCGTTGGGTGTTTTACTGTACGAGATGTTGGCCGGACAACCACCCTTCGAGGCCGACAACGAGGACGATCTGTTCGAGTCCATACTGCATGATGACGTGCTGTATCCCGTGTGGCTCTCCAAGGAGGCCGTCTCCATCCTCAAGGGTCAGTATAGAGGCCGACTCGAGGACGATCTGTTCGAGTCCATACTGCATGATGACGTGCTGTATCCCGTGTGGCTCTCCAAGGAGGCCGTCTCCATCCTCAAGGGTCAGTATAGAGGCCGACTCGAGGACGATCTGTTCGAGTCCATACTGCATGATGACGTGCTGTATCCCGTGTGGCTCTCCAAGGAGGCCGTCTCCATCCTCAAGGGTCAGTATAGAGGCCGACTCGAGGACGATCTGTTCGAGTCCATACTGCATGATGACGTGCTGTATCCCGTGTGGCTCTCCAAGGAGGCCGTCTCCATCCTCAAGGGTCAGTATAGAGGCCGACTCGAGGACGATCTGTTCGAGTCCATACTGCATGATGACGTGCTGTATCCCGTGTGGCTCTCCAAGGAGGCCGTCTCCATCCTCAAGGGTCAGTATAGAGGCCGACTCGAGGACGATCTGTTCGAGTCCATACTGCATGATGACGTGCTGTATCCCGTGTGGCTCTCCAAGGAGGCCGTCTCCATCCTCAAGGGTCAGTATAGAGGCCGACTCGAGGACGATCTGTTCGAGTCCATACTGCATGATGACGTGCTGTATCCCGTGTGGCTCTCCAAGGAGGCCGTCTCCATCCTCAAGGGTCAGTATAGAGGCCGACTCGAGGACGATCTGTTCGAGTCCATACTGCATGATGACGTGCTGTATCCCGTGTGGCTCTCCAAGGAGGCCGTCTCCATCCTCAAGGGTCAGTATAGAGGCCGACTCGAGGACGATCTGTTCGAGTCCATACTGCATGATGACGTGCTGTACCTCGTGTACAGTGAGAGAGGGAGAGTCTGTCTACCGTTTGCTTCGCTTTGCAGACGACTGCGTTTTATTTTCTTTCTTTAGAGACGGCTGGATTGTATTGTTGTCCTTTTCTTCATAAAAAAATGGCGTATCAGTAACTAACATTCACGGCAGAACGTGATTCTTGTGTGTTTTTTTTTTTATAGTTTCACGAATGAAAAGTGTTATATGATCTTAAACTATTTGTGTTCTTTATAAAAGCATCGGAGGCATTGTTTTATCTTTATAACACAGAATATACGCAATACGACAATGACGACCTCCGTGGCCGAGTGGTTTGTACGCCGGGTTTCATGTGTCGCCGACTCGAGAGGTCCCGGGTTCGAATCCCGGTGGGGGCAGATGTTTGTGTGATGAACACGAGCATTTGTACTCTAGTCATGGATGTTTAATATGTATTTCTATATAAATGTAATTATATATGTACTGTATATGTATTCTATCCGTTACCCTAGCATCCCATAACATAAGCCTTACAGTGCTTACTTTGGGGCTAGGCTAATTGGTGTGAGTGTTGGTAATATTTATTTATTTATATTTATTTATTATTTATTGTTACATGGAGTGCACATGCAGCGTGTTTGAATGTCCAATTGTGACTAAAGCGAATTGTGGTCATGCATCACAATTTAAGCGGATCACTTTTCACGTCACGAGTGCCGTATCTTCCTTTTTTGTTTTAATCTAAGAAGGGGCTGTTCAAGTATTACGTAAGCACTATAGGGGGGCAGGGGGGTTTTTGTTTTGCTTATTTTTGATGACATGGGGGGGTGGGGGTAGAGATGGTGATCATGTCAGCATCATCGATTAAGCCTTTTTAAGTACTGCTGCTCATGAAGCTCATGAATCAATAAAAAAAAATGGGTGCGTGTACTTATGTAGGCGCGTGAGAAGTTATCCTTCTTTGGCATCGTTTAAAATTAGTTTTTAATTGCATGCAAATAATTAATTACAATAAATTAATAAAAAGTCTGGAAATGGACGAAGTCAATAAAGTTCAGTTTTAATTTGAAAAAATAAATAAATAATCAAAATATTCAATTAAAATCGCTACTGAATATAATTTATTAGAACATATGTGATTTGCACTTGTATGTAACTCAAACACGTATTCCGAATATACAAACTAGAAACATGTGGATAAATATTATAAATATGAATACCTATAACTGTTACTTTATTACAAAAAATAAAGATGTGGTTTTTGGTTCTACTACACCAATGGTCAAGAGATGGCGCTGTAGTCTCCTGAATCGCGCTTTGGTTCCGTTGTTCCAGATTAATAAATACTTTTGATAGGCCTTCACAATGCAGTCGTTAGCACCCACTAAATAGAGATTCTTTTTCTATTTTGTTGGTAGATTTTCTTAATGTGCGGTAAACATAAAAGTAACGCATGAAGTTGGTCGCTAAAGACCAACTTCATTATGTTAAAATTTTGTGTTACAGTGATGCGCGCGCATCTTAAAATTTCACTCTCATCATTTTTTCAAAACGCGCCTAAAGAAGTATAACTTCAAAAAACAGAAAACATCAAAGGAAAAATGCATATAGGTACCAATGTTTACGTAAGGATGGGGGGGGGGGGGGGGGGGGGTGAGAGCTTTGCTTACTTTTGCTGACGAGGGGGAGGAGGAGGTGAATAATTGTAATAAATCTGCTTACGTAGTACTTGAACGGCCCCGAACAAGGTGTGTTTCCTGTATAGGTTTCATGACGAAGAACCCCGCCCGCCGCCTCGGAGTATCTGGCGGCGTGGCTGGCATCAGGGCGCACGCGTTCTTCCGGGACGTGGACTGGGACGCGCTGCACGCGAGGAGGCTGCGCCCGCCCTTCAGACCTAAAGTGGTCAGTATATACAGTACCCTTAGTGCGAGTTTAACGATTACGAAAACTATGATAGTTTTCGTGAGCTCTCACTCGTATTTAGGGTACTGATTTTTTTGTTTCCGATTCAATACAAATAAACAGTGTTTAAATTATATCATTGAATCGTTTGCGTCTTCTAAAATTTTAAGAATATTTGGTTACTTTTCACCAAAATGAACATACAAACATAATTTACAATTACGATAACTATTATAGTTTTCGAGAGCGCAAACTCGTACTAAGGCTACAGGGTGTCACAAAAGTCCCAAATAAAACTTTTGGGTTTGCTTGTGTTCCTTGTATAGAATTACCTACGAAAGTTTGACGGCTTACAGATCACTTTTATTTTCTAATTAAATTTATAAAAATATCGTTTTACACCTGCCTATGACAACCCTATGAATGCGTACGATTACTACTACCTAAACAGACCCCCCTCTCTCCCAGGCGCCCCTGCGCCTCGCTCGGATACTTACAAATTTTAATTTCAGAATACATACCTACAAATTTTATTTCGGAATTCTGTAACACCCTGTATGCAAATGAGGATCCGTAACGATATAAGTTAAAGATGGCAGAGCTAAGGATTCAAATGCTTTATTGTGAAATGTAGGTTAGTGCAGCAAATTGGTGTTAGGTACAAAGTTTATAGTGTCACTACATTTCGACCTTATTACAAGGCATACGATACTTTTATGGAATAATCAGGGTCACAGTCAGGGTAAAGATATATTCAAATGAGGATCCGTAACGATATAAGTTAAAGGTGGCAGATTTATAGAGCGACAAATATTAACGAATTTAGGACCAAATTAATAAACGAATTTTCGGCTGGCCGCGTGGTGACTGTGACGTCACAAAGCTCTAGCGCTCGGGCTCCAGCTTGCGTAAAACGCTACTGAAGTTCGACCGGAGTGAACCACGATCGAGCTCTGTGACTTATTAGATCATTATCGTGATTTTAGTTGATTTGCTGACCTAGTATTGATCCTCACTCAAACTCATTCGTTCAGCTCGGAGACGCTCTCTAGTTGAGCCGACCCCCTCAGGTTCGAGTGGTGTAGAGGCTTCAAACGGAGAGGAGACTCCCCCCGTGGGGAGATGCCATCCGCCTGGAATACCTCTAGAGGCACTCGCCAATACTTGGCTTGAAGTCCCTTTAGGATCTCTCCGTCCCCAAACCCGGTGACGCTGTAAAGGTCATCTGCGACCAACAGCATACACACTTAAAAAAAAACATTCAATCTAGTCTGTTACAAGGACTTGTGAAAGTCAAACGCTAGTCCATCGGATTCATAATCTACGGCGGCACGCTTGTTTTATTGTATTGTTACTTTTGTGAAATTATATGATTTCATGTCTTTTATTTTAAAAATGTAACAAAATATTTATAGTACTTAAACTTCAATTAGTAAGAAAGTTAATACAGTATTGTTTGGTTGTGATGCCTTCTTATTCTGTTATTAAAGTCCATTTCTCGTAGCATGAGCACCGCAATTTACATTATATCTCGTTTTTTATCATGCCTAACTGTCAAGTTCCATTCCAATTTGACAATTGAACGAGCTATATATCGTAGTGCTTATTTATTCAAATAAATTCAATATCGTTTATTCAATCGGTCCAGTTACAAGCACTTGTGATGGCCGAAAAGCTACGCCATCGGTTCGCAAATCTACGGAGGGAGACCTTGTACTGAGAAGAACCGGCAAGAAACTCAGCAAGGGTTGTTTTTTCTCCCTGTATTATATAAAGAGTCGTCTAATTGAAAAATTACTTCAATATGAGATAGCTCATGAAGTCACTTTCCATTACAAATGTCAATGATATAAAATATGACTATAAAATAATGAGATATAAAAAATTGATTTAACAAAGTTTAAGTTTAGGAATGTTTAGGAATGCCGTGTCCTACTGTTTAGGATAAAAATATTGTACATGAGCATGTTTCGTTTATTTGTTAAGTATCACAAAATAAGGAAACGTGTAGTTTCATCATCATCATTATCAGGCTAATAATGTCCCCACTGCTGGGGCACAGGTCTTCCCTATGGATGGAATAGGGAGATTTGGGCCGTGACCCACCACGCGGGCCCAGTGCGGATTGGTGGGTGGTAACGACTGCAGATGCGACCGGGATCAACGGCTTAACGTGCCTTCCGAAGCGCGGAGGAGCTCGAGATAGTAATTTTTGGTCACCCATCCAATGACCGACCACTGCGAAAGTTGCCTAAGTTCGACGATCGCAGCCGAACGCGCTAACCACTTGCGCCATCGAGCTCCTCGTAGAACGTGTAGTTTAAATAGTCAGAAAGTTGATAGAGTATCATTTGATTATGCGTACAGAAGAGCAAGCGCGAGGCGGCCAACTTCGACGCGGAGTTCACCAAGGAGGAACCCGTACTCACGCCCGTGCCGCCCGACGTGCTGCGCACCATCAACCAGGTACCTGCACTACACTACACTACACTACACTGCACTACACTACACTGCACTACACTACACTGCACTACACTACACTACACTACACTACACTACACTGCACTGCACTGCACTACACTGCACTGCACTACACTACACTACACTACACTACACTACACTACACTACACTACACTACACTGCACTGCACTGCACTGCACTGCACTACACTACACTACACTACACTACACTACACTACACTACACTACACTACACTACACTACACTACACTACACTACACTACACTACACTACACTACACTACACTACACTACACTACACTACACTACACTACACCACACTGCACTACACTACACTACACTATACTATAACACTGCACTACACTACACTGCACTACACTACACTACACTACACTACACTACACCACACCACACTGCACTACACTACACTACACTGCACTACACTACACTATACTATAACACTGCACTACACTACACTACACAAACACATCGTTTTTTAAACTCTTTTTGTTTAGGAACCTTATGTCCGATGACATGACAGAAAGAAACTAATAAGTACTTATTAACAATTACAAAAAATATTATATCGAGAAGCTGGCGAACGAAACGGTATAATTACATATAATTATTTTTTACAGGAGCTGTATAAAACTGAATGACATGCTTACAGTGAAGTTTTGGCATGGTTTTAATTTATAAAATTTAACACTATTTTAGGTAGTCTTGATTGAAAATTATTTGAGATTCAAATTCAACGGGCCCGAAACCTCCGGACTGTAAAAAAAAAAGTAATTTGATACCGTTTTGTTCGACAGCTCCTCATAGTACTTGTATAATTTACTGAAAGTAAAAATAATGTCCCCAGTGCTGGAGTGCAGTAAAATAAAATTCACTTCCGAATACGATATAATTACAATTTTAGATATTATATAAATATTAAAGTAATGTAATGCTTAAGCATTACGTCATAACACGGAAAAATGTCGCAATGTCCGTAGAAACATACAGTCATACATATTTGATATTTGTCAGAACTTGGAACGAATGAAATCGAAAGTAACATTGCATATTGCAGAATATTAGAGCAGTCGTGTTTATTACACTACACGACACATGAATACATCATTAGTCCATTATTGTCCCCACTGCTGGGGCACAGGCCTTCCCTATGTATTCCGTAATATATACACTGGTATATATTACACCCCCTATCTCGCTGTTGCACCCAACAATCCGCACTAGACTACACTTAGTGGTTTATGCACGAATGACCCTGGGTGTATTCCGAAATGTACATCAGTATACTGGTCAGTGCTCATGACGTCGTGAATCGACGCTATACTGGTGAATTGTTCCGAAATATACGGGCCAGTGCACTGATGTCATAAATCGACGAAATATTAAAAGTAGTGCGAATAAAGAAGATTTTTTTCATTCACCTCACCAATTAAAAGGAATTATCTTTGTTGGGATGCCATTATTGTTTTTTAAATAAAAAATAAATAAAAAATTGTGTGTGTCAGCTCCGACGCACGACTGGAGTTTCTTTGTCGTCGTAGGCAATAAAGATACGCTACGATACTGTGCTACGGTGTAGCACTACGGCTGCTACAGCGTAGACAGTAAAAACGTAACGAGCTCATTCATCGATAGATTTCACTCCTCAGATTTTTCTCATACCGGGCTCCTTATATATGCAAATCGATTCTTAAGGAGTAAACTCCAAAAATCGTATGCATCTCACGCACGCTCATACGTCATATTCGTTTTCCCGGTAAAAATATGGTAGCATACCAGTACAATATGGCGTCGGATTCGTCATTACCACTGGCCAGTATACTGATGTACATTTCGGAATTCACCCAGGGTCATTCGTGCATAAACAACTAAGTGTAGTCTAGTGCGGATTGCTGGGTGCCAACCACTACAGATGCAACTGAGATCGACGGTTTAACGTGCTTGCCGAAAGCTCGGAGGCGAGAGCTAATAAATTTTGGTTACCGATTCGATTTACGACATTCTTCTGACTAAAGTTGCTTAACTTCTTTGATCGCGAATCGAATGCGGTAATCACTTAAGCCATCGAGCTCCTAACACATATACTTCATCATAAGCCTATTAATGTCCCCACTGCTGGGGCACAGGCCGTCCCTAGGATGGAATAGGGAGATTGGGCCATGATCCACCGCGCGGGTCCTGGGGGCCATTCGCCTAACGGAAATGCTGTGGAAAACGCTAACGCTTACGATTTCATTTTGTTATTTCTAGCCGCCTGAGGTTTTCAAATGCCTCGCGCTCTTTTTTTTTCTTTTGCATTGGTAATAATAATATTAAAAAAATGAGCGTGAGGTATTTGAAAACCTTCGGCGGTCAGAAATAACAAAATTAAATCGAAAGCGTTAGCTTTTTCCATAGCATTTCCGTTAGGCGAATGGCCCCCAGTTTTTATTGGCGGTTGCTAACGACTGCAGATGCAGCCGGGACCAACGGCTTAACGTGCCTTCCGAAGCACGGAGGAGCTCGAGATAGTACATTTTACAAAAATATAAACACACACAACTGTCGTTAAGATACTATTTGATATAGAACTTTTATAATTTAGCGTTAACATTTGACAGCCTCTAACGACCACCAACAGCACGAACCAATATCGAATTTGAATAGTTGAATACGATCTCGACGACCTTTGATGCCCTCCGTGGCCGAGTGGTTTGTACGCCGGGTTTCATGGTGTCGCCGACTCGAGAGGTCCCGGGTTCGAATCCCGGTGGGGGCGTGGCGCTGTTCAAATTTCCATACAAAATTCTTGACATTTGACGGGAGATCTAATTCAAGTATTCGAATTCGATATTGGTTGATAAGGGTACATTTTCTATATTCAAACTCCAGAAAGGGATATGCTTATTAAAGATTGTTGCATCTATGAAAATTCTATATTTATTATTAACATTATAATAAAAAAAAATGGATGCGTGTAACTTATGTACGCGCGTGAGAAGTTATACTTCTTTAGCATCATTAAAAATATTTTTTAATTGCATGCAAATAATTAATAATTACAATAAAATAATAAAAGGACTGGAAAAGGATAGTTAACACAGTCAATTAAGTTCAGTTTTAATTTGAAAAATTAAGTAAATATTCAGAATATTCAATTAAAATCACTACTGAATGTAAGTTTAATAGTCCATATGTAATTAGCACTTGTAAGTAACTAAAACACGTTGTGTCTATATAGAAACTAGAAACATGTGGATAAATATTATAAATATGAAAACAGTGATCAGAGGCGACGAGCGTGCCAACATTGTTTTTGACAACGCGATCATCTTATGGAGCTCCGTGGATCGTTCAAAGTACCTTTCGACAGATGTCTTATAATGGTGGATTATTAGCCACTAAGTGGTTAATAATCCACCATTATTAGACACTAACATTCATAACGCGCCCGCGGCCATGTCATGGTGTTACTATTGTGTTACAGTTATGCGCGCGCATCTAAAAATTTCACTCTCATCATTTTTTCATAACGCGCCTAAAGAAGTATAACTTCAAAAATGTTGCTAAGAAACTCAACCAGATTATTAACCGTTTACTGGACGTTGATTATTAAAACTGACCGTAATTTGTAAGGTAGGTCATTTATTATTAAACGAAAGATAAAACGTTGGCTTTCCTCATCCGCAGGAGGAGTTCCGCGGCTTCTCGTTCGTCAACGCGGACTTTAACCCCACCGGCGCCCCCGCGCCGCTGTGAACCCCAACATCTGTCCTCTCCCTCACACACGCACCTCCCCTCTCCCTCTCCCTCTCCCTCTCCCTCTCCCTCCCTCTCCCGCGCCCCCACTCTCTGCGCACACGCATCACATAACACACCACAAACTACACGTTTCTCGCGCGCGACTCTCTAATACCTAAGTCAACTCGAATGATCAGGCCGCATGAGTAATGCAGGCGCGGCGACGAAGCTTCACGCAATAAGGATGATGACATTTTTTTATTCGTCCATCAGGCAGATTAACAGATGCAGTGGACGTCAAAAGTCCTCGCTTCCAAACTTGACGCGTTTTATCTTTGTGTCTTTCCGGTTGATTTGATAGAAGAAATAAAAATAAGTGTTTTTAGGACGGACTAAACGGAATTCCGTTTATAACCCGTCATCATCGTTATTGCGCGCGTGTGTGATAAGTCCTGGCGCCTGCCGAGAAACGTTTGTATTGGCCTTAGATTAAAACAAAAAGGGAAGATACGGCATTCGCGGCTCAAAAGTGATCCGCTTAAATTGTGGTCCACGACCATAATTTGCTTTAGTCCCAATTTGACATTGAAACACGCTACATGTACACTCAATATAACAATATTGTGTATATTCTGTGTTATGAAGATATAACAATGCCTTCGATGCTTTTATAAAGAACACAAATAGTTCAAAATCAAATGCCCCGGCAACACTTTTCAATCGAATATTATTTACGTAATCGTCATTTTGTAAGCAAGAAAAGGAAAACAACACGCTGCGTTGAAGCGTATAGTTCTGTCTCGCTCGCTCGGTTGATGTTTATATACAGACGTGTGCGTGGCGAGAGTTGCTTATGTAGTTGAGTCGGATCATATTTTATTTGATGCTAGTATGAGCGTACCCTATCTACCCTTTTTGTTTTAATCTAAGGTATTGGCGGCGAGGGCGCCAGTGCTCCCTCGCGTCCTGCATGAGGCTCTGTGCCTTGCTTACTTATGCCGGTAGACCATGCTTTGTGAAAACTTAAAGGTCTGTTTTACGACGCCTTTTGTTCTCTCATCAGTCACATGTTTCTAAGGTTGCTTTTGCAGTAGCTATTTGTGAGATAGCTCAGTTAACAATCTACCTTTAGAGCTGGGAAAATGCAGTGATTATTGTTACTGGTTTGTCTGCGCCGTGAATTTTCATTGAAAAGGTTGCCTAAAGTGAGCGGTTGAGAAATGTACCTCAATTGTGTTGGATGTAAATGATAATTATTCAATGTGTGTGAAACGCAAAAACTACTCCAAAGAATCACGCAGTTGTCAATGCATTATAAATAGTGAAAAGAAACATGTGTTCCACATAGTGTTGCCGAACTATCGATATTAAAGCGATCGACAGTTTACATCGGAAATCATGTACCCTATCGATAGAATCGATACAACCGATAGTATCGAAACTATCGATAGCTCAGAACAAGGCAATACTATCGAATGAGTGCAATACTGTAGATACTATCGTTACTGTTGATTTTATTTGCAACAATACTATCGGTAGTATTAATACTAGCGATTGTTTTAGACTAAAGTTTGTGATTGACTAATGCTATTACAAATTGTTAAACTATCGATAGTATTTTTGCAAATAAAATCGACAGTATCGATACTATCGATAGTTTGTTATTAACGAACTACAATGCTATCGATAGTATCGATAGTATTGATAGTATCGATAAGCCGATCGATTGTCATACGATTGGTTGGCTATCGATAGATTATCGATTAATCATCGATAGTCGACTATCGATTGGCAACACTAGTTCCGCATTACTGTAAATTGAAAGGAACACTTTGGGAACTCGTGAATGATGAGAAATTGGAAGGCTCCTAAAACGAATTTGATGATAATGAGATGCTAAAATTGAGTGATCGCGCGCTAATTGCAAATGTTAACTGATATAATTTTATTATGATTACGAATAATAATAGAATCTAAGTGAAACTCTAGTCAAAGTCAAATGAAATTTGTTTTTCTTTTTTATTATTGTAACATAATTAAATCAACAATCTGTCTATGTATACATAATTGTCTATGTTGATGAAGCTCTGAATTTTATATGCGTACTGTTTAATGGATACGTTTGTTATAATGTGACTTGATGGAGGTAACATTTTACGTGACTGGCTAGAGCCCAGGTTCGAGTCTCTGCGGCGCCCGTTTTCGTACTTAATTTTAAATGTTAATTAGAACGAAACAGCATGCCAACTGAGGTTTTGAGAAATTTGGTTTTATTTTTAACAGAAAACGAAAAGGGCATGTTTACACGCGTTGTCTGTGCCTCTATTTGTGTGTCGTTGAACTGGTCTAAATTTAATCAGAGCAATGTGTTGATTTTTGTGAAGTGAAAAAGGTTTGTGTGATTATTTTTTTAAGTTTTAATCAAATGATAATTTATTAACATGGTTTGTGGTTTTCGAAGACTTTGATCGAACTCAGATCTTGAGGGCGCTGCCTACTCTGAACAAATCAGTATTGTCAACTTATTTCTTTTTATACTTAATTTAGTGACAATTTTTAATGTTACCGTATTATTTATTATTAGTTTTGTTAAGTGGATAGTGTGTCGTTTCTGTAAGATTCTTGACCGTCGGCTGACATTGCAACTTTAGCCTGTGATCAAGTTATAAGAAAGAATGTCGTTTCTCATCACCAGTTGAAATCTGATTAACGATGAAAAGCGAATACGTAATAATTTATTATTAAAGTATTATGAATAGTTTTCTTCGACTCTAGTTTCGTAGCTGAACTGTCTACTTATAATGACTAATCCAAAAACGATACTACTTATTTGATAATGAAACAAAACTTGAATTATTTATTTTCTCTAAGAAATTTCGTTTTCTGAAGTATTCCTTTTCTTCGTTTGTAATTGCAGTTAAATTATCTGTGACAAAATAGAAACATTGTCTTTAAATGTAACTTTTTGCAAAACAGTTGCAATAGCGGTCGAAAATATTTTTGTTTTTGAGAAAATCTATTTTCGTTACTCTATAGGGTTTCATGATCGTTGTAATAGGCAGAGACAGCGTTGACTTGAAGTCAGCTCGGTTCACGGGGCGAAAATTATTGTGTTATAGTGGTGACATCTGTACGCCTCATTAAAATCGCTAAATAAGGTAATTCACACTCGCACTCAACAGATGGCGTTAAAACACACACATGGTGGCGCTAAATCATGGTATAGAAAGTAAGACCAGCGAGATATAGGCCAGAGTCTTTATATTGAATAACATCACAATTTTTGCTAACGCGATGTAACCTCGCTATTGTATATATCTTTAGGGTGATGAACAATGAGCTGTCAGCGCCATCTGTTGAGTGCTCTTCCGTTTAGCTTTAAATATGAGGCGTATAGATTGCCCCTTCTCAGTAATAATTATAAGTTGTTCTGCAAAGCGAGTGTCTGTCGCTCGTAACCCAACGGCTGTATAAAACGACCAAACAGTACCACTAGCACGAACCGACATCGAATTCGAATAGTTTGCGAGCACGAAATGTCAGTGTCAAATTTTGTATTGAAACTTGAACCGATGCGTTACAACGGACGTAACGAGAACTAAAAATCAGTACACATTTGACAGCGACATTTCGCACTCGCCAACTAGTATTTGATATTGGTTTGTGCTAAGAGTAAAGTTCTATGTGGCCACATGTAAAAATATATGTACACTTGAATAGTTGACTAGTCACACAATGCGTCGAATTAGTGTACCAACTTATTTTTACACATGACCGTGAAAAAAAAAAGTTCTCACTGTATCGTAGTATGCATTAGCGACGGAGAGTTATTGCGTTGTAATAGTTATTTATCACAGACGATAGAGAGATAGATTTATTTACAATTATTATTATTATGAAAGATTAATCTTATGCCATTTCAAGTTTCTCCGAAATCGTATTTATTTGTGTAGATATAGGTGTCGATTCTGGCAGGATTCTCTAAACTTAAAACTAAATTTAACATCAGTCTGTCCTTTTCATTCTGTATAGAGAATGACAAAGATACACTGTTGTCAAATTTAAGTTTAGCTTTAGAGAATCATGCCAGAATCGACATCATAATGTAGATTGTACGTATACAATGCGTCTAAAAGCAGTTTTGCAGTTTTTATCTTCGGATAATATAATAATGCGGATTTTCTGTCGTCCTACCCGTTTTATGGCAGAGATTTGCCGGCAATCGGTTCATATTGGCCGTCGGATTCATATGAACCGCGGGGTGGCTTACGGCCGTTGTATATAGTGAGAGGCATACTCGATCGACCGCTATCGGCCCGGGAACTTTCCTATGGACACGTCTATGTATAAAGTTTACTGAATTTGATTAATAAACGAATTGAATTAATGATTTTCAATATGAGTAAAAAAGGAAATAAAGATCTGTATGGGTACTTCATCAAAATGGATCTTAAGTCAGTGTCATCTGTGTCGCGACAGAAGAGGAAGAATAAAATTGTCTTTGAATAAATCTCATGAGCATAATTAAGATTTTCAACCTTAATGCCTACTGGGCTACGGTTGAAATTGGAACAATACATTTGAGAGTTGATCTCGTGTCTACAATGCTATATCAAAGATACACTAGTCATGTAATTATCTCGCATTATATTTAAATATCTATCCTTTGAATATCATTGAACGAAACCGCGAATCTCGAATATCAATCGTCTATCTATAGAACTAGGAAATATGGATAGTAGGACAGTCCCGAGTGAAGGTCCCGGGCGAGGTGTTGTCGAGCACCAGTAAACCCCATTGTCGTAAGTGTTAATGAGAGGCGGATGTGACGTCACATAGCCTCCCCTACGGCATACAGTATTTCGCTGTTGCATCCGTTCTTTAAAATGCGTCTTGAAAGTGTGCGTTGCTGTTATTTTATCATTATTCGTTCGATTCTCTCCTACCGTTGACTCGTCTGGAGTGCGAGCTTCAGAAGCGTTATGTTCGCGTCGGACATATTTGAGTACTGGATAGTACAAAGTGTACATAGAGCCTACTGGAGTGGCGCGAGCCGCATAGTATTATTTAGTCCGTAGTCCCCAAACCAAAGTTCACCCAGTTTTTAGTTCCGATCCCCTCCGCTTTGAATATACGGTCGACTCGCCTGTTCATGCTGTGAAGAGCTGATCAGTACAACTAAATCTCTGCTTCGACGGCGTTTCACGCGACTATGAATTGTACAATGGCAGTTGTCGGTCTGCTATTATATATATATTCGATTATATTGATATTCGCTTGAAATCTGATTTTCTGAGGCAGGGCCTTATTGGCCTTCCACGGCACGATGTTTTTATTTATTTTTATTTTTTATCTGTCATCCTTATAACTATGTTTCACTATTTAATAAAAAATTGTATTTCTAAGTGTTGCTGTGAAGGCTAATAAAATGTATTTCTTTCTTTCTTTCTTTCAAATCGACCTCAAATATGGAAAGAAAGCCAACATCAAAATGGACCTTAATATTTCTTGCATAATTGCTTCTTTTACTTTCTTGTATTTTTCGTACCTTTTGACGATTTTTCGGTTAGCCGTGTGCCTTGTATGTACATTACAGTGATCTATGATAAATATATGCGATTAACGATTTCCAATATTATTCGTAACATTTTATTTTATGAAGTCTTTTTGTCGTCGTTGATTTTCAACAAATTATTAGTTTTAAAGCAATTTGTTTAAACTTTCTTTCAATTAACGCCCTAAGGATATGGGCATTTGATTGTACTGGGCAGTGTCGTCTCATCCGATGACAGAGCGAGTCGTCTCCAGTCCAACAGTAGAGGGGTATCGTGCAACGCGCGGCCCGGCGCGGGCGCAGTTCGATGCACAAATGTAATGCTTTATGTAGTCGTTAGTGTATAATAAATAAAAAAAGCAAACATTATAAATAATATAATAATAATAAAATACTATTATTAAATTATAAAAAAAATCTCTGTACGTGTTCCCGGTGTATTCGTGACGATGAGGTGACAGGAGTTTTGTTTTGTCGACTTTATTTTTGTATTTGGACGTTTCACTAATACGTTTGATTGTGTACCTTGTAACTTGCATGTTAAGGTCGCTTCTCGCGCTCGCGGCTATATCATAGTAACACATGACTAAACTTGTCATTTATTATGTTGATAGTGTATTTTTCCATAAAGCATGGGTAGCTTTGCGGTTTGTCTGTGTTACAGATAATCCAATTTTTTCTATAATAGTAATAATATTCATGTCCATCTCACATTTTCTTTCTAAACAAGAACATACGTACCATCTAGTGTATAATAGGGCTGATGACGGGGTACAGTAAACGAAATTCTATTTAGTCCGTCAGTTAAATGATCAAAAAATAATGGACACGTTTTTCTTTGGACAATCAACCAAAAAATGACAAAGTTATAACGCGTCAAAGTGTTAGTAGGGGCTCGTGACGTCACTTTTGAGTGAATTTTCACTTATAAGTGTACTCAAACGTGACGTCATGCGACTTTTATTATATGAAAAAAGAAAAAATAATTGTCCAATACTTTTTGATAATCTACCTGATAAACGAAGAAAAAAAATTAGTCATTATCCCTATTCAAATAGTGTTGATTTTCCTGTCATCACGCAGACAAATTGTCACACTGCCCGTGTTAAAAGAAAATAGTTGAAGCGTTAATTGTCTGCCGCAAACGGACGTTGCTATTATTTTCGTTTGTAGCTTTAGGTTCGCGAGCGTGTCGGGGCGGCGGCGCCTGTATGTATCGTAATAATTGTGTACGTTGTCTGTTGTAGCGTAAGTCGATGTATGTGGAGGTTTATTTCGGTGTGGATCATACTAATTAATTAGAATAGCGACGATGCCGGTTCTCAGACTCGTTTTCGCACCGTCGGGTCGCACGGTGCGCCGCTGGGGGTGCGATTGTGGACTCTATGCGCAGTTGCAGATAAATCGAATATTGTATTAGCAAAAAATCACTTCGTAGGTAGAAACAATAGGGAGCATTTAAACTGTATTAGAAACGTAAATGATTCTCGTTTATAGAAAGTCCACAATCTTATCGCCAGTTGTATTCCGCTTAGGTCGTCAGGCGACGGGCCCGGGGCTCCGGGCTCCGGGCTCCGGGCTCCGGGTTCCTGGTTCCGGGTTCCGGGTTCCGGGTTCCAGGATCCGGGCTCTGGGCTACGGGCTCCGGGATCCGGGCACCGGGCTCCGGGTTCCGGGCTCCGGGCTCCGGGTTCCGGGTTCCGGGCTCCGGGCTCCGGGTTCCGGGCTCCGGGCGGCGCGAGCGGCCAATGTATGGATCAGTGTTTGGTGAACATGTGGCATGCGCACATCACAATCAAACGCGAGATATCTAGATTTAAGGGACAATCACCCGTCGCGCAAGCTTACAAACTTGAAATTCGTGCCTAACTCGCTTCTCGGACACAGATGTTTTTTCTTTTTTTTTTTCTTACACTTAAAGTACGCTTCTGCAAACATTCGTTCCGCCTATATTATATAAATAATATTTTCAGTACATTAGTTCTATTGTCTGACTCTCGAGTTTCGGTGGTCGGTGCGATATCTATGAAGTCGCGTGGGAAGCGATGTGTGTGGTTTTAAATATTATTAGTGTTAACGTTTAAAGGCGTTGGAAGTGTTAGATTAATTGTAAGGTGTAGTGTAAGGAGTATTGAGTCGTGGGCCCGCGCCGCCGTCGCCCGTCTCCCAGCAGCTCCGCCCCTGCCACGAGAAAACGAGTCTTATTGCGACGACGCAAGGTCCAACCGTAGCCGCGTCGAGTCCGCTCGTGCTAGGCGTTCATTAAAGCTGTGATTGAGTTGAGGCGAACTTTTGTTTGTGACGCACGAGTGTTCTCATCTCCGACCTCTTTACATTTCGTCGTGTACTAAAACTGACAAAGTTTCGAAATGGTTTTTTTTTTCTATATTTTTTTGAGATTTTACACATTGATCATTTTTTAATTGTCTTTTTTTATTTCTTATAGTGAGCGGAAACGTTTTATTGTCTCGTTTAATGATGTAATAGCTGTTAATTGAAGTAGTACAATCGAGCCGTGGCGCGCGAGTGTCGCGGCGACCATATTACGTTAGGCAGGAACGCCTGCATACACACACATGCGTGGATAGATAGATATATACGTTATACTATGGAAATGTTATTTTTACTCGAAATATTATTAAATAGACTTTATGTAGTAGAAGTGGTGACAGCGATGCACGTTGTTTATCTCGTTCTGGTTCTACGGTGTTAGGTGCAATGTAATAGAGATCGTAACCTCCGACCTTCCACACGTTGGTGTGGTATACACGGGTTTAATTTTTAGGAGAAACCGATTGTACGTAGTCATTATCGGGATGGAAGGAACAAATGAGATATATATCTACATAATATGCTTGTTAATGTTGTGTGTCTGTCACCGACTGTGCCAAAATCCTCAATGTAATAGCTGATTACCGTGGACCGCCTGTATGAAACAAACCTAGAAGCATAATATAAGTTTTGTTAAAACAAACGAAAAACGAACTAAGAATTAGCAACTGCCATTTTGTGTTCAAAGCTAAAGCCAATGAATGTAAGCTAACAACAGGAGGTGATCATTACTAGTGAACAAGTCTCTGTGATAGTGCAAAAGTAGTTGTTTCATACAAGCGTTTGGCGCGTAATGTTCAGTAAGTCGTTATAAATAGCTTGTACACGTAGCATAGAGCGCAGCGGCCGGCGCCGACCTCGTCATTTTCATATTCCGGGATATGTACTATGCCGTATACTTTTGGAATCGTTGACGTTAAATCTGGTCCTACTCTGAACGAAGTTTTTGATGATTTGTATACATTTGTATTTATTTGCTTGTTATGATTAATGTAAATACAAAAGCATCCTAATAATTGGTATCAAAAAAGAACGAGGGTCCTAAGGCACTACCTTGAAGTACACTTTTCTTTCTTTCTGTGTTTCTTTAGTTTCATTGGATTTATCGAAGTAATTTATCAATGTTACTTGAATTCAAAGTGAAAAAATTAAGATTGTAGTTCCAAAATTTTCTAACAAACGTTTGTGAGTGTAATGTTTGACCCTACAAATGCTTTGGACATGACAAAAAGTAAATACCAATAGCGATGTGAGGATAGGGAATATAAACAAGGTGCTCTTTAATGCATTCGGATGAAGCTTGATTGCTTGTGACGGTATATCATCTAAACCACACTGCCGTCCTCAAGCTAAAACGCGGTTTATGACAAAACCAACTTTTGAGATATGGCCAAAAAACGGCACGTAAACTTGAAATGATAGCTATTTTGTAATCATTCATCACGTGACGGATTTTTAAACTTAAACTATAGGTAAAGGATACGAATACTTGTTAAACACAGATCGATAGAGAATAAAAAACTGTATAAGATCTAAAGAAAATATAAAAAATATATTTTCTTTAGATTTAAACATCAAGCAGTTACATGCTTTAAAATAATAAAAATTACAACTGTATAAGATACAATTTAATACTGAAAATTCGACCACATGTCACGTAGTCACACTTTAGTTTGAGGACGGCAACATAGCTCTTTTTAAATTTGAGACAGTATCATGCATTTGCTTCAATAATTAACCCCGTTGCGTTATAAATACCGAAATAGTATCAAGTAGTGGGAGCAGAGTATAACTGACAGCAAGTTCGTTTGGTTCAGAGTAGGGCCACAGCTGCTTATGAGACGAGACAGTCATGGCTGCTTTAGTGGCCGTCATAAAGGTGGTCTTATAGGTAGCGCAGGCTTTGTTGTCTATGGTTTATGTTCGAGGAGTATGCAGGGGTGTAAATTATTATTAAATGGATTGAAATGTAGTCGCTATGCACGTAGTGTTACCCTTATAATGACAAGTACCGCGAGGTCGTCTCGGGCCGCGGCGCGCGCGCACACGCAGTCCAGGAACGAACTCATAGCGTTCGCTGTACGATGCCATTTTAATATTTCAGCCATTACGCTAGCAGTAACTTGACATATCACGCTATATTTCCGTTATACATAGTAATGTATATTTTTTTTGAAATATAAATATATTATGATGATTATATTTTATATAGACACGAGTATCGCAGCGTTGGAGTCGGATGTCCTGTGTCAAACATAGCACATTTATTGTATTGAAACGGCGGGCGTCCGCAATCTTCACAGATGTCGGTTGTATGGTTGGTTTGTTGGCTGCGGCATAATAATTGTGTCGCGGTTGTTATGAGTATTATTGTTTCGACTGGGACGGTCTCTAGTCGGTGATCTAACCGCTATTATAATTAAGTAGAGCCCAATTATAATAGGGTTAGTGAATGTTCTGTTTTGTGATTGGTGAAACTCCCCTACGGGACGACACTGCAAAATCATTGTAATGAACCCTGACATAATATATCTATAATTCTCATTTGATCTTAACCTTCTTACATTTCAGAGATTTCCTAAGATATCAAGGGATTCTGTGCGTTTATTGTCAAGGGCGGATCCAGCTTTGGCGCCAGGGGGGGGTCATATAGCCAGCTTTGGCGCTAGGGGGGGGGGTCATATAGTCGTGGTATATTAAATATTGAAAGTACTTAAATAAAATCCCCCTGGGTTTGGTCCATCTGTACCTGGGGATCATGACCCCCATGCCCCCCCCCCCCCCTGGATCCGCCCTTGTTTATTGTATTCAACTAGGGATTTTAATCGTTAGGGTTTATATAATTATGTTTTGCAGTGTTATCCGGTTGGCGAGCACCACGTATTAATGAATATCATTGTATTTATTTACATTTCTATTGTAAGGATTAGGTTTTATTATGTTCTTTCTGGTGTGACGTTCGTGCAATATTTTATCACAACAATTTGGTGGATAATCTGGAATATACTCCTGTTGTATGTGAATGTGTTTGATCAATGTATGTGCTTATTTTGAAGGTGCTTTTTATTGTAACTTTGATTGAATATTATTATTGTTTTATTTATGTCTATCGGCGAGTTGTTGCGATTGTTGAGATGAATTTTTGAATTTATCGTGTAAACATAATGCGTTTTAGGTAAACGGCTTTATTAATGTAATGTTTAATAATTGTTTTGTGAAGATTGCGCGCGCGTTTACGTAATTTTGTACTCATTTATAAAAAAAAAGCTTTTATATGAAAATATATTTTACGCTTCCCAGAGGTGTTATAGCCAAAGATGGTATATTGTACAAATGGCTTTGAGCCTTATTTTGTTGTTTATTAGTTTAATATCGTCTTGCCAGTGGTTATCCCGTTAAATTATAGGAAGCAGTCTCGTAATGTAGGTAGGAACCTCTCGTACGATGGTGAGGCGATGTGGGACGCACCGGAACGACTAATATAAGTATTATATTAATGTTATTGTAATTTAAACTGTATGTGTCCGGAGTGTTAATTCTTTAATGGAGTGTTTGGTGTTGGTGTCTCGAGAGACGTATCGGCCTAGACGGCGTTGCGGCCCGCACTGATGCACTGACTGTGCGGGCGCCATTCAAGAACGCTTAATATCAAACGTCGTGTTTTAATTTGAGATTCACATGATTGCGACTGGTTTGTGTCTCGGCAGGCAGACTGTACTTAAGGGTGCGTTTCACACCGCGGCGTGTGTATGTTCAAATCGTTTGTGTTATTTAATTGTAGCTAACACAGAGGATGAGATGTTGGGACGACCTCGTAGCGGCATCTGAGGCTGCGATTTGTCCCGCGCACAGAGATGCAAAGATTCCTCCGAATCGACGGTACGCGCAAATTCGTACAATGCTTTAGTTATCACAAGTTGGAGAACGCGGCCGCCGGTAGATGGCGCTACGAGGTCGCCAAACCTATATTTGTTGTTTGTTCACTGATCACTACTAGGACACATTTAGCTGAGTAAATTAATGCATATGATATAGTTTTATGATGAGATAAAATATGTATATGTAATCCTACATGTCTATTAAATCAATGAAAATAGATTATAAGCGAAGCGGTTTTATTTATACCTACCTATAAGTCGCGGCACGAAACTCTATCGCTTATCGTTATTGCGCAGAAGTAAAAATGAAGATGTGTTGAGGCGAGGTGCGCGGGCGGTGGTGCCCTGCGCCGATTGTCTCTCTAATCGTACCTATAGATGTAAAACAACCGATTTAAAACGTTTTAAACAAAATGGGGCCGTTTTAAATCCCAAATCAATCGTTTTAAACGGTTGAAATCTGGCAAACAAAAATAAAAGAACTATGTTTTTACACTTCATTATGGTCAATTTTTGGTCACTTGGCGTCATATTTCGTTTTACTTAGTAGGTATAAAGAAAATCAATAGAAAGTACCTACGTACATTACCTAGGTACTACGAAAACTTAATTAAGTAGGTACCTTCATACTTAAGCACTTATTTAATATACATGTGTTATATAACACGCACTAGATTAAAATTAAAGACATTAACACAATGCTAACATTTGCCAACATTTTTTTGGTGTTGACATCAGCAACACCAACTGTTTTAAATTGAAAAAAATGGTTTATTTCGGTTTTAAACGGTTTTTTTCGTTTTAAACGGATCGGTTTAATTGGTTTTAAACCGGCCTTACATCTATAATCGTACCCCCCGACATGCGCAGCGACGCCCCCCAGCTTTTTGTTCAGCGTTAGAGTTACGTGCCGCGACCTGTACCCCTCATCATCATCATCATCATCATCAGCCTATTAATGTCCCCACTGCTGGGGCACAGGCCTTCTCTATGGATGGGATAGGGAGATTGGGCCATGAACCACCACGCGGGTTCAGTGCGGATTGGTGGGTGCTAACGACTGCAGATGCAGCCGGGACTAACGGCTTAACGTGCCTGCCGAAGCACGGAGGAGCTCGATTTAGTAATTTTTGGTCACCCATCCAATGACCGACCACTGCGAAAGTTGCGTCAGTTCAACGATCGTAGCCGAACGACGTGGTAGCGACCACTTGCGCCATCGAGCTCCTCCCCCTGTATGCTGTATACCTAGCACGAACCAATATCGAATTCGTATCGTTTGCGTGTCCGAAATGTCATTATCAAATGTGTACTGATTTTTAGTTCTCGTTACGTACTTTGTGCCGCTACTGTGCAAGTTTCCATACAAAATTTGACATTGACATTTCGGTTTGCAAACTATTATTATTCGAAATCGATAATTAAGCACTTGTTTTTGCACCATTTCACATTTTTTTTGCACCCGTTGCCGTCAATGCGGAAATTTTCGCGTTGGTTGCAGGTGATCAACTCAAAATGGCAAAGTTAAGCTTTCATAGCTTTCATTGACTGGACTAAATGGTTCGTGCAAGGGGTACTGTACCTTTTTTTTTTTTTTTTTTTTTGTTTTTTTTTTTTGTGGCGAGGGGAAATGCAGTTACGCACCATACCCTGACGCTGACTAGGCGCACGGCGTGTGTGGGACTCGCCGGCACGGGAAACAGTGCCGACCCTACTCAAGCAGGACCAGTGCGGAAGGCCACACTGATCCTACTCCACTAAAACCCCCCGGTACCCTCCTACGCCCATATGAGGGCGGTCTCGGGGCCGACGCACCTGCGTGCGCCACATCTCCGAGCCCGCCCCCGGGCAGGCCCGGCCCAACGAGTGGACCGGGCGACGCGCCTCAGGGGGACTGCGCTAGGGTACTAGGCAGTCCCCAGACGTGGTGGCCTATGCCGGAGCGGCACCTAGGGCGCGCGGCTGGTCAGGCCGCGCCCAGACCACCTTAGGGCCGTCGAAGACCGGCAGTCACCGCTGCCTGCCTTCTTCGGCCCACCCGTCTACGCCGGAGAGGGGCGGCTAGAGCGTCCTCCTCCCGCTCCCTCTCCGCTGCCTCCTTCTGCGTCATCACCGATTCGCAGAAGGAGGCGGCAACCCTCCAGGCTCTCTCGCTACCAAGCATGGCTCTTACCATACTTGGCAGCGTGAGGCCTCCTCCGCCGAGCGCCGCGATCAAATCGCGGCGCTCATTTCGCCAGGCCGGGCACACGATCAACGTGTGCTCGGCCGTGTCGTCGGGAGAGGCGCAGTGATGACACCGCGGCGTCTCCTCCCGACGGGCGACTCGGTGCAGGTAGTGACCGAAGCACCCATGTCCGGTCAGTACCTGCACCAGGCGGTAGGTGAGGGTGCCCCGCTGGCGCCCTACCCACTCCTCCAACACCGGACGAATCGCCTCGATCGTCCGGTGGCCAGCGGCTGGGTTGGCGAGTGCCTCCACCCATCGGCGCAGAGCCTCCCTCTGCGCCTCGGTGCGGACCCGTTCTATCTCCTCTAGAACGGGTCGCTCGCCCCGCTCTCTCGCCGCGACCCGGTGTTGATGCACCTGGGACAGTACCAGGGCATCAATCTCCCACGGGAGCGTGCCTGCTAGGACGCAGGCAGCCCCGTGGCTGACCGTGCGGTAAGCCCGCACGGCCCGGGTCGCTATGACCCTCTGCGGTCTTCGCAGGAGGGCCCTCGTGCGGGACGAGAGGCACTCCGCCCAGACCGGGGCCCCGTACAGCGCCATCGACTTTATCACGGAGTGATAAAGCCGACGGCACTTCGCCTTCGGCCCCCCCACATTGGGGAGGAGGCGACCGAGTCCGGCTGCGACGCCGCACAGCCGGGGAGCGAGGAGCCTGTTGTGCTCCTCCCAGCTCCATCGGGGGTCTAGGGTCAGGCCGAGATACTTGAGATGCGTCTCGACCGGAACCCACACCCCCTCTACCCGGGCACGGAGCCCCGGCAGGGTCCTGCATCTGGGACCGTGGAAGGCCATGGCCCTCGTCTTTTCGAGGGCCACTTCCAGTCCCAGGAGGCGGATGCGTCCATGGTCGTCATGGAGGTGCCGACCGACGCAAGGTGGACCGCCTCCTCCCACCCCCTCGCTCTCGCCGCTACAAGGGTGTCGTCCGCAAAGCAGACGACATCCATGCGCGGCAGGAGCTCACCCCGCAGGACCCAGTTGTACCCCAGGTTCCATAGGAGGGGACCTAATACGGAACCCTGGGGTACGCCTGCCTTCACTGGCCACGACTTGACGCGGCCCTCCGCATCCTCGTACAGGACTGACCTGTCTCGCAGGTAGTCCCGGACGAGGGTGCGGAGGTAGAGTGGCACTCGGTGGAACTCAAGCGCCGCCTCTATGCACTCGTGGGGGATGGTGTTGAACGCGTTCGCGATGTCCAAGGACACCGCGATCACCACCTCCCCCCGAGCTGTGGCCGTCTCAGTCCACCTCTTTAGACGGCCAACCGCGTCCATCGTGGACCGGCCGGTTCGGAACCCGTACTGGCATTCCGCCAGGTCCGGCCCGTCACCCTCGATGTGCTCGATGATCCGGGAGGCGAGAATCTTCTCAAAAGCCTTCCCGGACTCATCGAGCAACACCACCGGCCGGTAGCCCGCTGGGGAGTCCGCCGGGCGGCCTTCCTTGCGGAGAAGGCAGAGCCGCCCCACTCTCCAGCGCCTGGGAAAGCGACCCGTCGCGATGCATGCATCCAGCACCGCGCG